ACAACGAAATGTTCATTCTCCTTCTAATCATTCTTCCTTTAATATCAGCGGATAATAATAATAATACGTCAATTATCTATATTCACGAAGAACTTCCGCCGAATAGTTTATTACTGTCTTCGATATCGTCGACGAATAGTCTACAATGGTTACCATCGTCTGCGACATATCAAAAATATTTTCGATTAAATCAAAACCAATCATTGTCAACAACAAATGAACGCATTGATCGGGAAGAATTTTGTGAAAAAAATCTTTGTAATTGTTCGTATTGTGTATTAACATTGAACTTTTTACAAACGTTTGCAACAAATAACATCTCTATTCGAACAATTCAAATTGTCATCGAAGGTAAACATTGTCTATCCAAAATAGTCAAGAATTTCTTCAAAACATCATCTTTTCCTCGTCTTAGATATCAATGATCATTCTCCAGTGTTTAAACAACCGTTGATTAAACTTCCCATTGCAGAAAATGTTCCAATCGGCTACGAAATTCCGCTCGAACCGGCAGTTGATAGTGATTATGGATCATTATCAATCCAAAACTATGAGTTACACCCATTGATTAACAACCCATTTCGTTTAATTAAATCTGGCAAACCCGTGTTGAAACTTGTTGAACCATTAGACCGTGAAACAAAAGCAAATTATTTGTTACAATTAATTGCTTATGATGGTGGTTCACCACCTCTATCCGGTCAACAAAAGATCGAAATTATCGTTACTGAGTATGTGAAACACGATTGTTTCTAATAGGGAGACTTTATTCGTTTGCTAAAATTTCAGTGTGAATGACAATCCACCTGTTTTCGATCGCTCGATATACCAACAATCGATCCCCGAGAACGAAAAGACCGATTCTGTCGTCCTACAAATTCATGCCAGTGATCGCGATGAAGATGAAAACGGACGGATTTCCTATTCGATCGACGATCCATCATCAACGTTTCGTATCAACGAACAAACAGGAGAAATCTTCCTACTCAAATCATTAGACTACGAAAAAACACGCTCCTATTCAATTTCGATTACAGGTTAGTTAACATTATCTTTTCGTTTGTTAAAAAAAATTCTTTCATTTGTTTCTCTCTCTCTTTCCAGCTCGCGATCATGGTGTACCCCAGCTGAATAATTATGCACAATTAATAATCGATGTCACAGATGTAAACGATAATACTCCGAATATCTTGATCACTGAAATCAATGGTACCCATCACAATGATCAGCCAATTAGTTTATTCGAATGTACACCTAAAGGTAATATAACTGTAGTACAACATTGATAACCGTATAGAGAGTACAAAAGAAATTGAACAATAAAACTTTCTTCATCTAATCAACTTGTCTACAATCGATTGAGAAGTGTCTCGTTTCTTTTCAATAGAGAAATAAAAAAGAACCTCGTCTGTATCAAACAGACGTTCTTCCGGTTGATATAGTTTTCATATTGGTAAGCCAATCAACCCACCGGCATAGATAAGTTAGTTACATCGTAAGAAATTTCTACTGGTGGGAGACAAATAGCCTATAGTAAATTGTTCAAAGTCATTCGATGTCAACACGATCAACGAAGCATATGATAGATGAACATTTTTCTTTTTTTTTTTCTAAGGTACTTCGTTGTTTTATGTCTATGTCACTGATGAAGATTCAGGTGAAAATGGTCGCGTTAGTTGTACATTGAATGATACACAATTGAACTTAGTTTATTTAACATTAAATGCTTATTCATTACAAATTAGTGGTTCACCTGCATTCGATTATGAACGTGAACAATCAGTCGATATCGAATTAAAATGTACAGATCATGGTCTTCCAAGTTTATCAAAAACAGTGTTATTTCACATTGAATTAGAAGATTGTAATGACAACCCACCGGATATTATTTCTCCGTTACCATTTAATGAAACAATGCAAGTGTCGTATGAAATAACTGTCATCCCATTTGTGATTACACAATTTGTTGTCGATGATCGAGATCGATTTCAACCGAAAAACTTTACTTACTCATTTACAGTTACACCATCATTAGATTTAAGTTTAACAAATAATGGCACGTTAATACTCAACTCAATGCCATTTGCTCTGGGATTATACACGATAAATGTAACTGTGTCGGACGTTGGAAATTTAACTACTTCGATGACCATACCAATGAATTTCTATTCGATGAACGAAACAAATATAATTGAACGATTTAGCATGAAGAACACAAGCTTAATGTTGATATTTTCGTTATTTGTCATTATTTTCATCGCTTCGGTACTCATTGGTACATGTTTTCTCATTGCGTTTCTTTTACGACGCCGAAGAAAGCAACGACATTTGTGCTTATGTTGTCATTCATGTTTTAACATCGAAGAAAAATCCATTCGAAACTCTTCATGTGAAAGTATGAATAGTTCAAATGAACGAGCAGATTCATCACAAAAAACAACCATTGAAGTTCTTGATGATGGACGAGTAAGTTTTGTTGTTCGATAGAAATTCATTTCTTCTTTTCTCTCTCTCTCTCTCTCATGTCAATTGACACCTATCGATGAGTTTCTATTGTATATACTGAATAGACGATGAGAACAGATGCGCACGTTTGTGTACGGATTAATGACTGTATGGTACATTGAGCTGAGCACTTTTTCTTGAGACACGATTAAACATCTTCTTACCGCCTTTGTACTTTTTCGATAGAATTCATCCAATCGTATCTACCAGTATGGTGTCAAACAAGCGAATGATCTGAGTTTGATCAATACTCATAATATTCATCAGCAACGTGATTTCAACTATTCAGAAAAAGTAAGTTCAATGTCGAAATATTCTGTTTTCACGTTCTAACATGCTTTGTCATTCAGGTGGAACGGTATTTAACTCATTTAAGTCATGGAATTCTCGGTGTTGATACAACTCTATCTGACGAAGGTGTCTATGGTTCGTCAGATTTATCGTCAGATCAATTGCATCAGCTAAACATGCGTCCACCATCGGTTGTATCAATTCCATCGTCACAGCAACATTATCAAGATAGTCTAAAACGTTTTGAACAATTGTATTCGTTGGTTGAGCATCGTCAACCCACTGCATTTACGTCAGATAGTCTCTATGTATAAAAAAAACTGACTAAACAGTTCTTTCTCTTTGTCAATTGTATTTGTATTTGTGTGTCTTTTGTACGACGCTGATTTCTTTTTGTAGAAAAATATACATCTTGTTGTTCGAAATCAATTCAAGTAACTATCCCACTGCGATTCGAAGTATGGATACAGCTCAGTAGGTGGTCATTATTATGATCGACAAGAGGCAAGATTAACGTGAAGACAAGTGTGAAAACAAATACATGACAATTGAATGGATGAATGTCTAATAGGTATTCTCATTGATAGATTTTATTTTCAGAGAGAGAGAGAGAGGAGGAGATGCAGGAAAAGTGATGATGATGATGATGATCGTTTGTTAAAGATCAAATTGATAGTTTTTTTATTTGATACTCGTCTGTCAAACACGACGATCGAATGTAAATGTTAAATGAAATGCAAATAATCACCTCAAGAAAGTGTGAATAAATTCTCAAAGCTATTGTATTGGAGAGCAATTTTAATTGGATCATCACATTGTGATATTTACAATCGAACAGCTATAAAATTCACAGAATAAGATTTCACAAATAGCATGTCTATGGCAAGAAGTTAATACGATCATAAAATGGATGAAAGTACAATGGTTATTGTAAATTTCAGAAATGAAATCAACATTACTGAAAGTTGATCTGATTGTAATGAGAAGAATGAACTGCGATAAATATTCTGTCCATATTAATGAAATAATAGTAAATTGATCATGTTTACTCTGCTGGTGAGGTGAGAGATCGATAGATGTCGTGATGTCGTTGTAAGATAACAATGGCGCCCTCTATCGATTGAAGATTTTAGTAATAAAAAATGAGAAGATATTCCGGAGTTTGTTTGATAGGGAAATTAGTTGATCTTAAAAAAGCGAATTCATTCAAAGTCGGTATTGAAATATCTTTACACGAATGGTCGGAGGTCGAGTCAATGGCTCATTAAAAATGGCTATGAAATATTCAATTTGATAATAGATTTCTTTCTTCTACTTATAACGTATATGTTTCAAATCACGTTTGTTTTCGTAATTATTAATCCAGTATTTGTTTGAGTGAACGAAGTGTTCTCTTTCTTTTTCTAATTATCATCGGTTCGCGGTCTAATGAGACCAGGTATGATTTTTGTGCGAAAGGATATTTCTCCTGGAGAACGGTTAGTTTGAATCTATTTTTTTCTATATATCAATTGTATAGGCATGCGCCATCCGCCGCCGGTTCCACCACTTCGACCACCCCAGCGTCTTATGCCGGCACCGAATGATGGGGGTGTTTTTTTTGGGGTAATACTATGAATTACTAATTAACGTTTCTTTCTCTATTTTCTTTCCATTGTTGTTTCATAGTCGTTTCTTTTTTATATTGACTTACCTTAAAGTTCGTAATCCATTGCATCTGTTCACTTCTAGGGTCGTGATTACGCTCGTCGCCAACAACCGCCGCTCAATTATGCGCCACAGAAATCTTTGATTCCGTCAGGTAATCAACCACCACAGCAATGGCAAAATAATTCCAACTATCGTCCGGGTCCTGTGCCATTACTACGTCCTAATGGACCATGGCATCCACATGGTAATGCATACCAACAATCGCCTGCTCAACCTCCGCCGTTGCTCCCCACACATCAACAGTTCAATCCAAATGCACAAACTCCAATAACATACGTGCCATCACATCCAACAAATTATGAACTAATGCGCCTTGCTAATTCAGATCAAATTCCATTTCTTGAACCTCTTGAAGATGAAGATAATCTTGTTCGATCACATCTTTCGTCGAATAGTAACAATGATGAATCTCTCTTGATAAATTCAACATCCTCTCCATCCAAATCGAATAAACGTCGACAGCAGCAGCAGCAGCAGCAACAACAACAACAGCAGCTTGAAAATAATCGAAATATGATATCCTATCAAGATCTCGATCGGCCCGAAGAGCAACGTGATTCATCGTTTAACAATCGTCTTGTTCCTAAATCAAACAAAACGAATCATTTACCATCTGATAAAACAAATAATCAAATTCTAGTGAAATCATCAAGTGATAACGATCATGCACTCAAGTTAGAACTTGATCGAATTAAAAAGGCGGGTGCGCAGGAACGAGAGAAACTGAAGGCACAACGACAAGCAGCTGCAGAGAAGGAAAAAGAAGCACAAACAAAAAGAAACAGTGGTACGGCGTGATTTTTGTTTGAAAACGTCGTGTCATCTCTCTCACTTTCTTGATGTTTAGCCAAAACCGGTGATAAAGAGAAACGTGAAGATGGTGAACTCGGTGATAGTTCTGATGACGACAATATGAAATCAACACCACCTGTAGAGCCGAAACGACTGAAGAAAATCGTAGAAAATCTTGCTTCGACTCCTTCAAAGCCCGCTCTGTCACATCGTTCAAAAACGCCGCCTTCGGAAAGTATTCTCGACATGAGTGTGATGAAATTGATACGTCCAATGAAATTCTTTCATATCGATGACGAGAAAAATAGTTCCTATCGAGAATATTTAACCACTAATTTCAGTCGTGTACGTGTGCATTGTCATAAACCGCAACCGAACTTCTTCTCCAATCTAAGTTGCATCGAAGAAATCAAACGTCGTTTACGGTTAAATGCTAATACAACATCGTCGATTCTATTTCGACGTTTAATCGATGACAATGACGACGACCTACTGTGGACTTTACAGACAAATGTGGAAACCGAAGATGGAGAAATTGAAAGCGACGAGGAAAATACGATGGATTTGAATGGAAAGATATCTAAGCATGCATTATCTGACGATGATAATGATAAACATCTAAAAAAGAAATCGAAACTGTTCGATGAAGGAATGAATGACTTGACAAAATCGTCTTTAAATGAAAAACCATGGTAAGTTAGAGTTTTTACGAGGATGAGTGATGGTTGATCGTTCTTTTTCTAGGATAACCAATGAGCTGCGGCAGTTGATAAAACAAAAGAATAAATTGCATGCACAAATAGCTAGTGGTGATACGAATGCTGCGATTGAGAAGAAATATAAGAAAATACGAAATAAAATATCAAAACTGGTGAAGACATTGAAAGGTAAAAACGAAATATTAACATTTAGGTGAGGTTGAAGACTGACGCTCGCTCTTCCTTTTAGCCAAATATGAAAATTCTATTTCGGGCCGTTCAGAACCACTACTAATACCACCTCTACTGTCTCAATCACAATCATCGAATAATTCATCGTCATCTACAGCAGCGGCTGCTGCTGCTAATCATCCCTTGTCGAGAATCCTCGATCCTAATCTTGTTATGGCTATGCTTGTCGATCCAAGTTTGTATTCCCGGGTTCAGCAACAAGTACTCTCCAATCCAAATTTCGTGCAAGCATATCAGCACATGTTTGCAGAAAGCACATCGGACACTTCCTTACCGCCTAAAGTTGCTAGTGAAACTCAAGTGGTTCCATCAACTAATCCAACACTCGATAGTTTAATTAAACAAACGACAAAGACGAGTACAACTGTACCAAAAACTACGAAAGATACACTGAATCTTGCATCGTCGACAAGATCTCGTCCAGTATTAACTCAAGCGACAAAGCCAATTCAGTTAACTTCACTGGAGGGTGAACTCGAAAGTGATCAACAAAATAAAGCTAGAACACGTTTGACATCAGCTGAACCAACTCTAACAGATAGTCAACAACAAGATATCGCTTTAACACAAGAATTAATTCGTCGTCAGTTAGCATTAACACAGCAACAGCGGAATCAACGAAATCAACACTCAACTAGTCAACCATCTCTCTCGGCGCCCTTGAGTCGTCACATACCATTGACGACCGAACAAATGCAAGAAGTGTTAACACGTGCAAAGAATTATGTTACACGACAACAGAGTGATGAAACTACCGATGCGAACAATGGTCAACCACGTTTATCCTACAATACTCGACGTTTACAAGCTGCAATTGCTGCATCAGTTTCATCTGCAACGCCTCAGACAGCACATACAATTGGACAAGCAGCAGCTGCTGCAATTGCAGCTGTTTCTGCACGACCAACATCTGGAACAGCACCGACACCATTATCTAATCCAGCTGTTCCACCTATTTCTCCGCATCGACAGCAACAGCAACAGCAACAACAACAACAACAACAACCACCGCCGTCGCAGCAGCAACAGCAACAGCATCCGATTCGTATTCAACTCGATCAGAAATCGAAAACATTGTCGTCGATTAGTAATAATCAATCCTCACCGATTCCAACTATCAATCAACAAAAACTAATGTCTCTTGTTGATATTAATCCATCACCGCCTCCACATATGTATTCGAATACACCAAATTGGCAACGTCCTCCTCATGTACCTATGTCACATTATCCTGGACATCCACATCAACAACCATATCCACCATACGACAATCCTCATCAGCCACCACCTTATTATGGTCCACGAACAAATTATCCACATGAACCACGGCCATTGTTACCGTCGTATGGACCTCATCCACCTCGACATCCTGGTCAACCACCACGATTCAATGGTCCGTTGCCTCCGCCAGGTCCTTACGGTTATGGTCATCCACCGCAGAACTATGGACCACCACCACCACCTCATCCTCACTATGGTCATCATTATCCTCCACCTTGATCAGTTCTTTTGTCTTTTTCCTCTCTTTTTTTGTTTGTTTATTTGTTCTTGAATGTTTGTTTGTTCGGTTTTTGTATTTCATCATTATCAACAGATGTATTTGTACGTATTTTTTTCATAATTGGCTGAACAAATACGTACCCAAGCAAAAAAGAAAACAAAATTTCGCGTGATCTAACACTTTGGATAACTGTACATATGCATATATATAAATGATACTCGTCTGTTCTTTTCTCTACTTTTTAGAAAACCAAAGAACAGGTTCGTCGATCTTTTCGTCATCTAATTCTTCTTTTAGAATGAATAATATCATGTGAATGTGTTTTTCCTTCATCTATTTACCAAACTTTTCTCGGAGAATGATCTATTTTCATAAAAAAAAACAATAACTTTTTAGCATTTTCGCGCCATATGTGCAATACAACAACTGATTGATATTTGCACTCTAGATATGAATTTTAACGACGTTACCGTCAGTTGGCAGGATATATCGGACACTGAGCGCACAGCACTATTGAATAAACGTAGGTTTTCATCCACCTCCTATATCATAAAAGAATAATCATCGAAGATCTTTACGATTTATTCACGTGATAAATATAGTAACAGTGGTAGCGACCTTGAACTTAAAAATCAATTCTCTTGTCACATTTCCACGTAATCTAAGGTCATTTATTTGTTTTAGCATGTCCACCCCGAGCCAAGCCCAGAATCCATCCAGTATGTCGTACAAAAGTCAAGACGTAAATTATATGTACAGTTTTGTTTTCTTAGCCACGGAAAACTCCCGATCGAATCACTTCTCGTGTCTTCAGTATATGCCAATCGGCGGTTATGAATAACCATACAGCGCAACGTCCAGTTCGATTAAATAATTTCAAAAAGTACTTTCTTTGTTTAAGTGAATGAATATTTATATGAATTCTTTCTTCATTTATACGATTAGTCACACAACATTGACAAGCGCCAAAGAAAATGTTGATAATGCCTATCGTACAATGATCGAATTTACTGAAACATGTAAACGAGAATCCAACAATGATACAATGACAATGTAAGCATTGCGCCGATATTTCTACTTCGTTCTATTGTGTAATCATAGAGATATGCCAATGTCCAAACGTATTCGTTCTTCGTCACCTCCATCAACTATTGACCAGTGTGCTTCTCCCTCAGCTATATCACGTTATATAAGTCATGATAGTTATTTAACATTCGTTCCTCCACCGGATCAATTTCTTGCAACGGAGAATAAAACAAATACTGATGCAGATTTCAACGATGACGCCCTTTGGGATGATTGGGATTTGCCATCGACAACAACAGCAAGCAATAAAAAAACACCGGGTAAAATACGAACAATGTCATCGCCAGCTGTTCATTCACGCACAAACCAACTTATCGAAACGATGACGAATATCAATGTACTTGAATCAACTAAATTATCACAATGTAAATTTCGATGATTGACATTTCTTTAAGAGAGAGTTAACTGTAGTTACCTTTCTATTTTCTTAGCTTCGGCAAAACCATCCTCCTTGCAACCAGTGACATCGAATCTCGTTTGGGATGACGATGATGATGATTTCGAACAATTACTAAGTCAATTTCCTAATGAATTACCCAGTGAACAACCATTATTATCGAATGACTCCATATTGATTCCAGTACCGAGCACGGACGATGACAATTCGACGCGTCTTGATGCGACTCGTCGAACTTCAGCTCTTCTGACCAAAGACAATCAATCCTTAGTTCACAATTCATCGAAAATTGAACTATCGAGTCAATCTTACACGAGTCAAACCCGCACATCGACTTCAGGTTTGCAACGTTCGAATACTGGTCCCCTATCACCGATAGTAACTCGAAATACTGCGAAAATCAATTCTCCACGCGTACGCTGTGATTCAAGTCATGAGATTAAAAAGAAGATATGTAACGAAGCAGAGATTGAACAGAAACGATTAGCTGCACTTGCCCTTCGACGTCAACGAGAACTAGAACGGCAACAGAAGAAATCTTAGTTTCACATCCTCTGCATGTTTATTTGTTTGTTTATTTGTTTGTTTTTTTTTATATGTATTTGTCTCGTATTTAGTCAGTCGAAGAAATTTGATCTATGAAGTAAGAGAAAGACACTTTTTTCTCTGTACAGATCCTTGAATTATCCATGTGTGAGCCTTCTTCTTCTCTTTTTAAGCTTGTCGATACCTGATTTTCTATAGTTTGTTTAGAATCTTGGATTCCATATTTACTTCGATACTTTTGTCATTGTCTATCTTCTTCTTCTATAATTTTGTTGTCAGATGAAACGTATGATCAGATTTAAACAAACTGATACACAATTATTCTCTTTTTTTTTGATTAAAGAACAATACAAGATTTTATACCCACACATGTCATTTCTTTTCAATCGAATGCAATCAATTCTGGACAAATATCTGGTTTTTTTTCTAGATTACAGATGCGTATACGTTTGAAAGAATTCAACGGTGTCGCCGTATGGAAATGGGTGACGAACGATGACTCCTGTGGAATCTGTCGAATGCCATTCGATGCTTCATGTTCCGAATGTCGTTATCCCGGTGATCAATGTCCGGTGTTACACGGCGAATGCCGGCACTGTTTTCATGAACATTGCATTATGAAGTGGATCAACTCTCAACAGACAAATAAACTATGTCCCATGTGCCGAGGTGAATGGAAAAGTATTCCGTAATCATTGACAACGTGCAACATCTTTTATCTGATCGTGTATTTTATTGAATATATATATATATGTAGACTGTGAATATGTAAAAAAAAAAGAATAAGGAAAACGAATAAAATTTGTATTATGTAGCATCATCGGCAATTTCATAGAAATTTCGATGACTGGAAAACTGTTTATTTCGCGGATAGAAAAAGTCTGAAGGTTGAATACTGATTCGATGTGGTGTTTGTTCATCAATTGCAACTAATTGACCGAGATGATTTGTTCCCTGAAACAATTAAAACTAGCACAGGAAAACCTCGAGAAAAGATTTTCTACCCATTTCTGACGTGTTTGTTCGAATGAATTATACATATTGTGCCGTCGATTCGTGGATGCTGGTGCACCACTGCCACCTCGTCCCCACCAATTATTCATCGATTCAGTGTGCTGAAGAACAACAGGAAAGATGTTGTTTAGATGTACCAAAGAAAAAGATGAGAAATTACTTGTAATTCAGCTAGATTCTTTTCTTGACGACTTAGTTTTTGTAATCTTGCACGCTCCTCTGCTTGTTGCATTAGACTATCGTGTAAAACCTGCGTTTCTTTCGATCGATTTCGTACATAAGGATCCGCAAACTGCTAATACGATAAAAATTAAAAAAGAAATATCATTAGAAAAAGTTCATCTTTGTCGTGTTGATTAGTCCAATGTTTTCAAATACCTCGCGAGCTGTTTCTTTCGTGGGTGAGTAGAATCTCAATGGCGAGTTAGTTTTATTAAGTTGACTGATCCATTCCACTGTATTTCCTGTCTAAAAAGAAGATTAGTTTCTAGGATGACAAATATTAGATTGAATACGACAATCAAGCAAAAAATTTCCTAAACTAGTCAGACTGGCCTTTAAAATATGTCATCAACAATTATCAATCTTTCCTATGAATTCCTTTCATTGTTCGCAACAAACTATTCCGTTAGTTTTGTTAATTACATTAACTCATATTTGCTAAGTTGATTAATCAAAGCCTTAGAGTGAACGTTTGAGAAGTTCTATATTTACATTTGTTCGATGGTCGAGCTCTTGTTGTTGGCGTCGTTTTTGCTCTAATTCAAGATCGCGCTTTTGATCTTCAATATTGTATATGTACTGATTTTGATGATAACCAAGCGGACCAGTGCGATGCTAGGCGAAGGAGGAAAAACATAAGTAATGTCAACAAATGTGATAATAGGAAATACCAATTTGTCTTGTAAACTTCCAGAGTAGCGAGTGTACTTCTGTCCTGTTGGTGCATGAATTAATGGAGCTCCCGCCCCTGGACGTCCCCATGGATGGTAAAGTTCTAATTCAGGAAACGAATTAAACGTACTCTGGCCATCTTTATTTGGATCTATAGAAATGACAAATGCTATTAAGTTCAGTTAATTGTATTTTATCCAATTACCATAGGAGGAAAATGGATCATGAGCATTTCCTTTCGTCGGTAACGACGAACTAACCGTAGGTCCATTCATATCCGAACTTTTCTTCTAAGATAAATAAATAAATAATTATTTCAGACCCCATTCGAAGTTCAGAAGAAAACATCCGTGTAATCCGACGCTCATTCATCAAATATCTACGTCGTTATTATATTAATATGTCAAACGGCTGAATTCACTTGATTAACACGTCAGGTAACTATACTCGATCCTTTTCTTGTATTACATATTTGGAAAACATTCATCATTCATAATTTAATTCGGAAGTACGATTGAGCTAAAAATAACGACCGTCATTTACACACGAAGTTTTATAATACTCAGATGACTTTTTTGAGTAATCTAATCACCCTTGAAAAGAGTATGTTAATGTGCTTTTTCAGTGTATTATTAACGGAATTGTTACCCGTTGCTGATCCATCAACTTACTGGTCCGTAAAAACGTTGGAAATCAAAATTATTATTTGATATTTGCGGTTGAGTTGACGAATTAATTGGATAACCATCGTGAACAGGCTGTGACGTTGATCCATTCATCTTCGGCAAGGTATGATTACTGTTATCCAAAACGTACGTTTCACTTGTGCGTGGTTGATGATGAACTAAGTGTTCGGAATATGATTCTAAGACAGGTGATGGTGCACGACCTTGGGTTAAGATTTCTTGGAGTTCTTCTTTATCTACGGAAAAGATTTGTTATTCGTTTGTCATTTAAATGAACGACGGAATCTTTACTTAGAAAAGTCGTTCGATTTTGCCTTCCAAATGGTTGATTTTGAACCTGTACAGGTAGTGAAGAATGTATAGATGTTTGTTTCTCTTAGAGACTCGTTTAGTTTTCATTGTTGAAAAGAAGAGAATGGAAGAAACGAAAGAAAAGAGAAGGAGAAAAAACGACGAATTCATGAAGGTTGTCAAAGTGCAGTTGTCGCCTCTTGAAAATCAATTAAAAGAAAGAGAAAATCGACTTACATATTGCTTGTCGCGTTCAATTTTCTTTTCCCATTCCTTAGCTAATCGTTGCTGTTTTTCCTTTACTTGCTTGTCTAAAATGATTGAGCATAAGAAACAAAGACATAACAGCATATTTTTTGTACTTACCAAGTTCAATTTTATACTTCAGTTTCAGCACATTTTCAGGCGACAATGATCGAAGAATCTCGGGCGTTTCCTGTGACAATGTATAATACGTTGTCATTCCATTCTGTTCCCCATAGGTAGATATCGAAGGTGGCCGACTTGAATTAGCCATTAGCGGAGCAGTGCGTTTCAGACGAGATGCTTGGATAAACGAATCGAGATTGTTTTCGATTGAAGAACTAAACACACAGAATTCGCTCAATGCACAATCGATTCTCAACAATAATTTTGCAACACTAATTTCAATCCTCCTTTCTCCTCAAATGAAACGATGCATACGTCATTTGTTAATGAGCAAAGTTTTCCTTTTTTTTCGTGTTTACTATCCCTATAAAGAAAAAAAATACAATAGTTAGGTGAATGAACGTGAACTAAGCAGTTGATATGATATGTGTGGAATATTCTGTCACAATTACCTTCTACCGCTTAGGATTTGTTCGCGAAGAATCTGACAATATTTGATCGATTTTCTTCAGAAAATATATTTCTGTGTGTTAGCAACCAAGAAAAGGAAATTGCAAAGAGAACAACAGGAGAACAAATGTATCTTGACTATATTTTTACCCGTTTAACTATTATTCGGGAAAATCTTAAAAGAAATGGTATTATAATCAAATGACGATTGATTGTGAACCATGAGCGTTGCTATGAACTTTTCTTTTCCAATACCTATCGACAAAATCATGTTTGTTGATGAGATCCAAAATATACACAACGAATATAAACAACAGAAAGTGTTATTTGCTATAATATATTTTGCTAAATCAACGCTAAGTTTGTTTTTCTTTACCATATGATTGCTTATCGATAATGTTAATGAAGCTCGTTTGTTGTTTGACTATTTGTCATATTGGAATAGACAAGAAAAACCTTTCTTGTGCGTGTGTTACTCGTCTACGGTTGCATGTTTTTTGGAGAAGATAGCGAAACATGACTTAAGATGATGCGTCTGTGCGTCTTTTTCAAGTATCCTTTGTTAGTAATTATCTATGAATAAAAGAAAAAAAGCGAAAAGAGAAGAAAACTTAAATCACAGGAGAAAGAAAGTAATGTTTTGTTCTTTGCCAGAGTAAAAGGAAAAAATATATCTTATCCGCGTTGTTCTTCATTCTCATTAATAATGTGTTAGACGGATTGTCGGTTAGAAGATTTCTTGTTCCGATTAGTTTCCCGAACTCTATTTTGCCCCCCTCACATGCACACAAGAGCGGTTCTTCGTTGGCACGAGATCGAATCGATTATACAATTATTTTCATCCTGTGAGTAAGATAACAAAGACGCATTTTGAGTCTATTTCTGGGTTAATTCTTTAGGAGTCATGATGTGTTCTAGTTCATCTTTCGTCTTTTGTTGTTCTTTTGTCATCGATAATTATTGAAACGTCCAGAAGTATTTCACTGTGAATCTGACAGCGAAATCTCGACGTGATTTTGAGAGTGAGGGATGTCACTCTCATTGTTCAATGAGAATCTTTATGTATGTCAAACTGATTATTTGACATACAATCATTGATTTTCTAAAAAAAGATTTCTTGTGCATCAGTCGGCAAGTGTAGAAAGTATTCTTAACGTGTGAGAAAAGGTATAAAAAATGGATAAATATCTTAGCTTGTATTTCTTTCTATTTTTATCAAATAATTAGCATATCTATTTGGTTGAAATACCACTGATGGTATTACAAACGTTACTCAATGTCATCGCGGAAGTTTCGAGCTCGATCACACCCATATCGAATGAACAATGACGTTATATAAATATCAGTTCATCTCGAATGAAATCTATCCAGGCAGTCAGTGTTTATTGTCAGTAGCTTGTTTTTCTCTTCAAGTCAGGTATGTGTAGGATCCTCGAGATAAACAAAACGAACATAATCAGATCGTTTTTCCCACTGTGTAGACGGAAAGAAGAACAGCTTCTTTTTCTCCTTTTCTCTCGCCTTCGTCATTCGACCACACATATTTTCTTAAAGAATAATAATGGAAGAGTACCCGACAGCTCTTTTTCGTGTTCTTTTTTTTTTACTTCAGATGTGCGTTTCTCATATTAACAAAGCTGAAATCAAATGACATCTGTGGAGTTTATTGACCTTTTTCGAAGAATAATCGCAACAGTTTGTTGCATATTTGGCCTACCCGGAAATATTTTGACAATAATTGTCTGTCTCAAAGCATTATGCCATCGAACAATAAACTTTGAACGCAAAGTTTTCGATCTTTATCTGGCGGAAATTTCTATCCTCGGTAAGTACGAATCAATTAATAATCACTCGATGGATTATCTGTGCGATGAACGGATTTCATTGTTAAAAACTTGAGTAATCTACTTGTGTATGACAAGATTATCTATCGATCACCTTTGAATACGATTAAAGTCTCAATACTAGCAGAATGATCGTTTATGAAAGAAATTCTTTCGATATGATTATATCCGTAAACTAATCCCATCAGATAAGCTCATTTTTATCAGAAGTTCTCATCTTTTCTCCGAAAAAGACAATGTCGCTCGTTTACAAGCCTGTCGATAGTATCATCCGTCATCGATAGATTATTTTCACACAGCTGTTACAGAAATATTAGTCGAAATATTCTCTTATCGAAGTCATTTTTTTCAAAATCATCGATATTTAGTTTTAATACATGTCTAAAAAACCTATTTGACACCATTGTGTCTTTTGTTTTTGTTTATATCAGACACTTGTTTATTACTCTATTGGGTTATCGAAACGCTGTTTCATTATCTTTACTCAATTAATAAAAGCCAATATTTTTCTCTCATGCATATTTCGCCATTTTCATGTTTCTTTTTCTACATGATCAATCGTTTATTTGCTGCACTTTGTTCCTGGCTAATCACATGTTTCACATTTATTCGTTTTATTAATATTTTCCAACAATTGAACACTATTCGGTCGAATATCATTCTAGTCACTTTATTAACAATCATATTCTCTATTGCTAATAGCTACTTAATAGTTACATTAGATTATGATCGAGGTGGACAAGCACACTATCATGAGAATTCTTCCGCCGACGTCTACACACTCTTACAGCAGAATAATTCAGCTCGCTGTTACATACGTGATCAGTATGGTAATAATCCACTAATATTATTACTAAATACTCTTGTAGCTGGATTTCTCAATCTTGCTCTCCCATCGATGTTGACTCTAATAGTCAATATAGCAATTGTATGCTATATCAAACGCATTTATGAAACGCAGACGAACTTTTATCCCAGTCCACGACGTTCAGACATTTCCGGACTTCATTATCGTTCAACACGTTCGACATTGCTTGTCATATCAATAACATATACATTATGCTATTTTCCATATTGTATTATTCATCTTTTATTAATACAATTCGGCGATACATACAACACATTAATTAATTGGTCGGAGATCACGTTTGTTCTTCGCTACATAAGTCATTCAGTGAATTTCTATGCTTATATATTTACCAGTCAGCGCTTTCGTCGTGATATTCTCGTACTATTCCGCTGTTTTTATCGGCCATATTCCTATGTGAAAGAACGAAACGAACAACGAAAAAAAAATAAACGTAGACAATTAATGCTTCAGCATTATCATCCGGTACCGATGTTATCGTCGCGCTGTCCACCGGTAAATCGAATAGTTACTCATCTACCAGGCAGTCCAGTCATACAAACAACTGAACATGGAAAGTCGAAACCGATTTTACGTTTAGCAGTACCGTTGACTCAATCGGATCAATTGACGAGAAAAGAATATGCGTAAAGTTTTGTTTTCGATGAGAAAAATGTATAAACAAACGAATGTTCATCTTTCTACAAGTTTCTGTGTCATAGAAGCAAAAGTTATCTTCTAGCGCATCATCGATTTTCCTATTTGTATTGCAATCTATTTTCTTTCTGTTACAAATATTTTATTCACATCGCTTTCATTACAATTCGGAGCGATAAACAATAAACACCGACTATTCCTCGTCAAAAGAATAATGTTCTGTTTAACAACAACTTCCTCTCGGATACTGATTTAATAGAATCAAAGACGTGCGTTTCTAAGTCGTCAGCGCTAAAATATACTTACTTAAGAACTAAACTGAGAAGAACGATCGATAGTACTCTGTCGGATTAGGAGAAGCTCTGAAAGTCCTATATTATGCAAATTTCTTGATAATAAGATGCAGCACATCAAATTTGTTACTTCAAAATGCCAAAGAGCATCAACATGACAGGGTACAAGGCCTAAAGAAATCACAATGTTCATTCTCTTTTCTTGACATTTGCATGTGGCAAACGAGGCGTTCACACATTTGTCCCATAAATCTTAGAATAGATTGACGTGCTCAACTTGGCAAAGTAGATGAATATGCACACAACATCAATTCTCACAAACTAAACGCATTTAAAATCTTTTTGTTCTTCATATAGACATACAATTTAAGTTTCTATCTTAATAGATGTATCGCACAAAAAACACATACTGATGAGTGTTGTTTCATCAACCTGTGACGTGTGATTTCCTTTTTTTAGAACAACTAATTAAGATCATTTATGCTTATGCAACAAGAAATAGATTTGATAGGGCTCCTATCTCCTTCTCCTTATTTCCTTTCCAGGCAACTCAGACAGACACCGTCATTGGAATTATCAAAAGATTTTATGTGCAAATATTAAGTTTGCCGCGAGATTTTTTGAGATTTAACCTCGTCATGATGCTTGCCAATTATGTTCAAGAAGGAGGATCACACTATATCATTAATAGTATACCCTGCAGACTAACTTGAAATACTTATTTACAGGAAATGGTGCTCAATTTTTAATTAAAATGACACTTCAAGAGTATTGCTGCGCATCAGAACAAGACTGATCCAAATCTGCGAAGGAAATGTTGACTTAAAATAAATTCTGTTAGTCACCGATGTCTTTGCTCGTTATAATTAAATAGAAGTCATTCGAGATACAATAAAATGGCACTATAGTTTTACGGGAAGAGAACAAGGTATTCAAACTGAAAGTCGGCAGAAGGTCACTTTATTACACGGTGAAAAGTCTCTTGTTTGTGACCTCAATTATTCTCGAGTTACACGGATACATTGGATTTGGCTAAAACCAGGAGATTCATGTTTCATATTCTTACATAATTAAAATGACTATTTCTACCACTTTGGCGGATGAGGAATGGCGTATATAAAGAAACGTGTCGCCATTAGTGTTCATTGAATATGAGCACAATGGAATTGTTGATTATAAATCTTTTTAAATGTTAAAAAGTATTCTTTATTATGAAAATGTCTCCTTCTCAAATAAAAGACTCATAGTTAGTGTAGTTAAAAATGTTTGTTCAACCCTAGTACTTCCAAACTGGGTCATTTTGGACTCAGACAGTAGGAAATGTAACTATGTCAAGGATTATTTTTTGGGTTAACATATTTCACAGAAAATTTTTAAATGAAATTGACGGTATTGCTATAAGTTCGGGTCACTGTAGGATATTTATGCGTCACGCAAAGAATGAATGCAAAGCGGTTATGCCAGATAGAGGTCTCTAGGGTGGATAAATAGGAAGTTTCAAATTGTAAGGAGGATTTTTAGATGAGACGAACAACTATATTCGAATATAATTGAATAGCTTATTCATGTGCATAGAAAGTGGAAAACGAAGGGTGGAAGTACAAGGGTTAAGGGAGTTGAGTTCAAGAACGTTCTCGTGTGTTGTCTTTTCTTTATTGATATTCAAATATCAGGCACAAAAAGGCTACATACATAGACGGAAAAATGAAGGAACACATGTATACATATATAAAACCTGCTTAGAATAATATAGATGGTCATTGCTAACCATTGCTTGATTACATATAAACAAGAACAAAAATATCTCCTATACTATAGAAAAGAGAAGTAACTACAGAGATTTGACAAAGATCAAATTTGTGCTGGTTTACTAAAATCAAAGCGAAACAAAAGCTATTTGGTTGTATGAAAATAATGTCGAGTAACTTACATAGGTCTTCTTAGCCTTACTAGCAGCTTTATCAGCACCAGATTTGATACTATCTGCACCACTTTTCACTGCATCACGAGCTTTGTTGATTGCTGCATCAGCAGATCGTTTCGAATCAGACGATAAATCTTCTTTCTACATCACGAAAATCAAATCATATAAATCAAATCGTATCTCGTATTATGCTCACTTTATCTTTAGCCCAATCGGCTGCTTTGTTAGCTGCGTCTACAATCATTTATTATCATTCGTATGGTGCTAAAGTTAAAAGTTTTACTTACTCTTGGCAGAACTAGCGACATCATCAGCGACTACGAATAATACAAAACATAAATAAACAAAAGTAATACCTTCGACGTCTTTACCTTCGCGAGCTTTGCTGGCAGCTTGTTGTGCATAGTTTTGAGCTGTTTCACCGGCTGACTTAGCCTGCAAGATTAGAAAGAAAAGAAGAGATTTAACAGTTTCTTTTGGTTTGAACATACGGTAGATTTAGCTTGTTGCGCAAATTCGTTGGCTTTGTCTTTGATTTTATCGGTGGTAGTTTCGGCACTGCTAAAGCTGTTTGAGCGCGATGAACTACTAGTGTTTCCATATCCTGAACGATTTTTAGCTTCGTTAGCGGCATTGCGGAAATTGTCAGCAGCACGATCGCCTAATCAAATGAAAAACGAGAATATTCTTTCAAATCAAACCCAAACACCTGACTAACCGTGTCGTTTTGCTTCCTCAGCTTTTTTATCTATAATAACAGTACAATTAAGTACATGATGTTTTTCAATCAAAATCAAGTACACTTACTAGTGTTAGCATCACCTGATACGGCACCAACAACAGTTGACGTGGCACTGCTAACAGCTTCTTTAACTTTCTCAGCTGCTTGGCCAAGTTGATCGACTCCTTGTTTTACATAATCCATTGGACCTTTGCTTTGTCCAGTGGCAAGGGTTCGTACGAAACTTGTTTGTACGACTAGAGAAAATTGTCAAAGAAAAAGTTTATTGAACAAACAGACTGTGCTGATGAAAGTTACCTCGTGAACCAAAAAGAAAAGTACGTGTAAGACTGCTTGCCATGTTTGGTACTGTTCTTTTGTTTATTAAAGGAAAAATTACACAAAAAGTTTAGAATCTAGAATAGAAAGAAGTCGCAATCACTCAGTATTTCTTCGAAGTAAGTAAAATGGCAAAAGAAGCAAATGATTTACTCTATATATACAATATATGCACTCGGTACTCGATGGCTGTGATTCCACGTGTTGTTCCCACGTGATGAACTCTTTTATCTCTGAATATAGAAAACGAAAGTTCAAAGTGAGTTTTCGTTCGGAAAAAAAAGTATCGATGAGTGAATGAGTAAATCGTCTCAACAGTAACGCACAAATGAAAACAGAAAGTGAATTAGAAAATTATATGAAAGCAACTGCTCGAAGGATTTAGTATATAAACAAATGAAGCACAGAGTACAACACACACGCGGCCATACCCGAGGTACTCGGTGGACTAAGCGGCATCTATTTTCTAATCTTAGTGGTTGATTGCTTAAATATCACTATCTACAAGGTTACCAAGTGAATGTAGTATGTATACTTATTTACGCAACTATTTATTCAACTATCGATTTTTTTCTTTACGACTCTGGGTAGAGAGAGAGGATATTCTAAATACTCCAATTGGCTGCATTTGTGCTTGTTTTCAGTTTATTCATATTGATCAAATAATATCAGTTTCGTTTTTGTTAACTGCTGACTTTTCGCAACTAAATCAAATATATTCGTCCATGTAAAATGTTCAATCAATAACTCAGGATTTCAGAGATACGAAACAGTGACATCTGTGAGAGATCTTTAATGTAAATTTCCACTGATACCCGTGATTGAAACGGATGACTATACTTTTAAGAAAAACAAAGCTATGTACATAGATTATATTTGGTTTCTTGACAGCACCACTGCTGTAACCTTCGGATATACATAACGCAAACAGGCGATGTTTTATGGAAAGTCATCAGTTATACTGGAAAATTTAATTTCTGAGAAAATCATGAACATGTTGAGTGCTTTTCTTTGTACTGACGTATGTAACACATACCATCCACTTCTAAGTATAGCAAAACGATTTTAATGTACCGTTGGATAACAAATGCAAACAACGTTCATCAATGTCGCTCTAATATTTTGATTTCCACAGATCTGAGTAGTACAGAGTTTATTCGATATCTTACCTTGTGTTCAACGTTGATCGGCAAAATCTGAATGAATCTCCTGCTAACTATTCATATTATTTTTAAATTCGCTCTGTTCAGATATCAATCATGTTCATAGAGGTAACAATTTCGAACTAAAATAAAACGAGATGTCGCTTACTACTTATATTCGTGGAATTCGAATTCTTGCACACTATTGGTTTCGAGCCATTTTTCGCACTCTCTCTCTCTCTCTAAGAGAAAATCAATCGACATAGCCAAACTATTTTTCCCCGTTATTTTGACTTTATGATATGCTGAAAATCTTTACATCAGTTTCCATTGTAGACTAAGTTCATTTTACTATAATTAAAATCAAACAATGTCCTCGTCGAATTCACGTGGTCGAGGACGTGGAAGTAAGCGAACAATCGCATCAATACCTCGAAAATGAACTTTTTTTACTTGTAGAAAGGACCAGTCGACCTGATACAGGTCCGCCCGAACCGTACCGATCCCAGTCAATGGCAGTTATATCTGAGAAATATCATCCTGAAAATAAAGAGAATGGTACAATGAAACATTTACCTTCATCATCTGGACGAAAGCCGTCATCTGATCAACAACGTAAATCAACATCGCGTTCGTCAGCTGGTCGCCCCAGATCAACACGTCCATTTAGAGAATCTATTCGTTCAGCTGTACCTGATACATCTGTTATTACCGTGGCCAAACGACCGGACAATGGTGGGACAGGTAATCGGAGTTTTCCTTTCTACTGCATAAACAATCCATGTCTTTCACAGCCGGACATAAATTACAAATGTATACGAATCATTTCAAATGCAATATACCTCGAACATTGAAGTGCCATCAATATGATATTGAATTAGAAGCTGCCAATCGAGATGGAACATGGCGTCCTGCGAAGAAAGACGATCGATTCTTTGTTTTAAAGAAAATCATTGACCGAGAAAATTTTCCATTCGTTTGGTATGATGAAGGAAAAAGTCTTTATTCAATTGAATTACTTGTCGGATTTAAAAATCAGTATGAAATCGTTATTAAAGATAAGAAAAGTGATCGAGAACAAAAGTATCGTTTATTATTAATCAATCTTGTTAAATCTTACGATATTCAAGTAAAGAATTTCGTTCAGGCGGTAATAATCAAGACGTGATTTCGTTTGCAGGTTCTTTGGGATTTTGTCGAAAATAAAATAGCTATTCGACCTAGAGATCCAATTAGAATACTTGAAACATTACTTAAGCAGACTACTCGTGCAACAATGGTGTGCGTGAAAAATCAGTTTTACGATCGACATCAAAACCTCGATAATTTAGGTAGAATTTTCCGTTCGTTTTTCGATGATCTGTACACTTCAGTCTTAGGTGATGGTCGTGGTTTGGCCAACGGTTCATATCAAGCAATGTTTCTCACTCAAATTGGCGCAACACTGAATATCAATTCAACATTTACATGCTTCTATCAACCATTGAATCTCGTTGATTTTCTTTGTGAATATCTTCAACACGATATTGTTCGCGATGGTAAGTCCGAACTACTTTCTCTTCTTCAATAGAACTCTACCATCTCGTTGTTTACAAGGTATTGATGAACGCGAACAACAGTTATTAATAAGAAAAGTTCTAAAACCAATTTGGCTTGAAACACATCATACTGAAAGTGTACGAAAATACCGTATACGTGGTTTTGGTGCATCCGCACGTCAACATACATTTCCACGAATGACCGATGGCACTAATAATGACACACCCGAACGGCAATCAGTTTATGATTATTTTCTGGAAAAATATAATATTAAGTTGAAGTATCCGAATCTGCCCACTGTTGGTAAGGATAAAAATTGTTTTTATGTTTACTGATTCTTTGCTTAGAACTGTTCACACCGCCGAATAAGACTCAGTTTCATTATTTACCAATGGAGTGTTGCACGATACAAGCCTGGCAACGATCGATTAAACCATTAACGACTGATCAACGTGCACGGGTAAAAATATAGAGACTGAATGGTATGTATCCGACTATCGATGGATAAATTTAGGTGACGAAGAAAACTGTTGTCCGACCAAATCAACGATATCAAACCATCAAAGAAATTGTCGAACACCGTCGATTTAACGAAGATAAATATTTGAAAGAAATTGGAATGAAGGTCGAAGATGACGAGATGTTAATTGTCGAAGGAAGATTGATTGATCCACCAGATGTGAAATATATCAGTGGACGTGATGGACAAAGTGAAGTTGTCGAACGAATCAATATCGGAAAGTTTGTATCGAATATTTCGAGATAATTTTTCATTTATTATCTTTTATTTCAAGATGGAATATTCGTAATCGATTTCAAAAGCCACGAAGTATAAACACATGGGCGTGTGTTATGATTTCAGCTCAACGACCAACGCAATATCAATTGTCCATTGCTCAGCAGTTTGTGGAACATTTTCCATATGTACATCGTTTTTTGTTCGAAGTCGAATAATTCAAGAATGTCATTGTAGGTTATTGAACGTTTTGGTATTCACTTTCAACCGAATCCGATCATGAAAAGTGATCCAGCTGTTCCGCAGAAAATTCATGATCGACTACAAGAATTGAAAGATGCGAACTGCGAAGTCGTTCTATTCATTCTCAATGGCGTTGGAGAAGATATTTATAAAACAGTTAAATACTTTGGAAATCATAAACTTGGGATCGTTACTCAGTAAGTCTCCTCTTTCTCCAACTTATCAAAAGCATACCCATTTTCTTTTGCTTAAACTAGATGCACAGATTTTGTTGCTATTGCCAAGAATATCAATAAACTTGATATGGTAAAATCCTTTTCTTTAAACGTCCGAACTCGATGGTATATAAATCTGTTTAGTATTTACAAAATCTTGTTCAAAAATTTAACGCTAAACTCGGTGGTGTCAATGGCCTGGTGTCATTAGCACGAGCATTGACATCATCGTCGACCAGAGATGATGTTTTCATGTTTTTTGGTGCTGATGTAACTCATACGACATGCTCAAGGGATAAACCATCGATCGCTGCTGTGATTGGTTCAACTGATTCAACAAGTAGGTCTATATTAAAGAATAGGAAAGAATTACTGGAAGATTTGCAGGTACACAGTATGCGTCACGTGTAAGTGAACAGTATCCAGCACGTGGAAAGATTTCGTTGGAAATCATCAAAGATTTATATCAAATGTCAACAGATTTATTGAAATTATTTGCACAAAAAAATGGTTGTTTTCCGAATAAGATTGTTTTCTATCGCGATGGTATGCTATTGAGTTTGAAATAGTGATTATCACTTTCCTTATGTTAATTCAGGCGTGGATGATGGACACTTCCAGAAAGTGCTTGATAACGAAGTTCGAGCATTGCAAAATGCTTGTAAAGCTCTCTACATGAATAATCCATTACCGAAAATTACATTTATAATCGTGAAAAAACGCCATAATACGCGTTTTTTCATTCGAGAACCTAGCCCAAATCCAAACATAAAAACAATGAATAATGTACAACCTGGTAAATCAATTCACCCATCGTGATATCCTCCCTTTGTTTATCATTGCTTTTCTAGGTACTGTTGTTGATACAGGCATTGTTCATCCTCAAGATTTTGACTTCTATTTAAATAGTCATGCTGCTATTCAAGGTATGCAAAATGCAACGATTAGAATCAAATACGACATTTGTTATTCGTTTAGGAACTTCACGACCGATCTTGTATCATGTTTTGTACGATGAAATCGGTTTTTCGTCGGATGAAATTCAATCATTAACATATTATCTCTGCCACTCGGATGTACGTTGTACAAAAGCTGTGTCAGTGCCCGCCCCGGTTCATTATGCACATTTAGCTGCATATCAATCCCGTGATGCTGATAATTACGAGAATGATCGACGAAGCAGCATAGCTGGCGATTTCGATGATGACGATCTGATTGATAGTCTTGGTGCCATAACATTACAAGAAGTTGAAACACGACTCATTCAATTAGATCCATCGATTCAAGATACAATGTGGTATGTTTGAAGAAGAAGAAGATGATGATGATGATGAAAACACAAAATGTTTTTGATTTTGCTTTAACTATTTCATGAATCAAAATAACTTTCTCTGCTCATTAGATATTTTGAAAGAAGATTTTTTTTTATATACTTTTACAAACATATCAGTTTTCATTGGAAAAAGGCAATAAAGATAGACAAGATGATGAAAAACGATTCAATTTTGCGGGTATTGCTATAGACACACTTTCATGTTTTTTCTTCGCTTGTCTGTTCGTGTGAACAATGAAGTCCATACGCATTGTTGGCTTCACTCCATTAGGTGTTATTCTAGTCGAACGATTTACCTATTTACAAAGTAATCTATCAAAAATTCATCTATGTCTAATCGTACAAATCTCATTTTTATCAAATGATATCCATTGGCAAGAGATTGGTCTGTTCTGTTTGACTAATCTTTCGAAACAATGTCGGCTATTGCAATCTGATCGTTCGAAACACGTCAGGATTAACGTAGACATTGTCAAAATGGATCGACAAGTTCTTTATTGATATACACAGTTAGTAATCACACATATGAAGAAATCTTATTTAACTTTATTAAAACATCGTCAAGTCGAGTTTGAAGTATTCAGTGATCAGGAAGAATCGATTGAAACAGATAGAGAGCGATGTTCAGTGAACAAACACATATCTTGTGATGAGAAGATGATATCAATCTATTTATGTAATCAGTCGAGTAAATCGGATGATCGATTGCTAAATATCAAAGATCATTCGTATACCTATGTGATCTATAAACAATCATCTCATTCGGACTTCGGGCAGAGCATTCGACTGAATGCCTTTCATGCGGTTTTTTCAGGATCTTTTTGTATTTAAACTCGCTTATCTACTCTCTTCTCTTGGACATAATAAAGTTTACCTGCATAGAATGGATCTGAATGAAGCATCGATGTGGTCACTGACGAACACGAATGCCAATCTTATAACCCTATTTGAAGTGTTTTCGAAATTTGCATACAAGAGATTGATACAAGCTATTTGTTTGGAAGAAAACCTCCGATCTCCAATGCGTATTATCAAACATTTCCATGAATTTAAACTGGATATCAATAGAAGATTAATTGAAATACGAGAAATATTCCAATCCAATGAATCGAACGTTGGAAGACACGAAAAACCATAAACAAACATATTAAAACATATTCCGACCATGTGATCAAGAACCAAATACTAAAGTTCAGATGGGTAGAGTATCAATCCTTGTTGATTTGTCTGATATAAATTTCTCACGTTCTCATCAAAGATCTGACTAAAGATATAAATGAAGAATTACTCAATGATTTTCCATCATCTCCGGCTTTCTTTGTTCACACGGGCACCAACAGAGCATTCGATTTCGACTCATCTACAGAATCATCATTGCTAATGATCCACAAACTCCCGATCTGACCGATATATTTCTCTCAGGCGTCCGTGAACTTTGTGTCATACGAGATGCAATATTGAGTACATCATCGATTTGCACTGAATCCTAATCTATATTGGTACTATTCGTAGTTCAAGATGATCAGTATGGATCTGATGAAGTTCTTCAATCACAGCAGCACGATCCATATAAAATCATTCAATGACCAATGAATCCCGTTCATCAAGTAATCAATAAAATCTTAATGACATCTTCTTTCCGACCTACTCGCCTCTCTTCAGTTAATATTATGTGAATCACAATCATTTCAAAATAATGCACTTGGTTTGCAATCATTAGTATTCCTATTCAATCCTCGTGACGAAATTTCTCGTAATGAACTTATGTTCTTATTTCATAATGACGATGATTGGCATAATCTGTTAGTATTACCTAATCGTCTAACAACGATTAAAAACAACAATTAACGTGCATTTTCACCAACGAAAAGAAAGCAATTGACAGTCTGGCACGCAATCTATGGGCAAACAACATGATTGGTTTCTGTTGTCGCATCAGCTGTTTTGTTTATTTCTTTTCATCATCGTCTTCGTTTTTCTCCAGTTCAACGATGATTAAATGAGATTCTTCTCAGTTAATTCGAATCATGGAACACTTGTTTTTAAATTTTCTTATCATTTTCGAAGAAAGACGCCGTCGATTGGGTTGTCTTTTTCCAACGGTTAAAGTTAGGTAGCAGACGGAAGCCTATGAGAGTCTTTTTCATACGTCGGAAGACAATGCTCTTTATCAGCAGTCATATAAAATGATTGAAGGGCGAATTTTACCGTACTTGAACAAAGATATCGATTTTCAAGGTGATTCACTTTCGACATTTTTGCTGTTTAGATAAGAAATTGTCTGTGAATATTTTGTCGGATGTCTAAGAGTAACAGAAGCAGAAATTTTTGCTTTGATATGTATATTTGACTTTTTCGAAATCATTCATTGGAATTCATTTCTAATCTTAAGATTGTTTTCTTCTTCTAGAAATTCATTCTTTCATTTTACCAACTTCAACTTCGGGTTGATCAATCAGCGATAGTCAAGTAAGTAATAGTAAACATATCAGTATCAATTGATTCACGCGTATGTGCTTTTTACATTGAAAAACGACTGCAGTCGGCGCCGCCGCCTAGATTATAAACGATTAATTGATTTGTTTTGTTCGTGTTATTTTTCCGGATCAACTCATCTTTCTACTCTTATCATCTATCTAATGTCATTCGGCATATAAAATACTTACTTCTCACCAATTATTTACTGTTCATGCGAACGATAAATGAACAGGTTGTGTGTGCGGGGAGATAGAAAGAAAGAAAGAAAGATTTCTTTAGTAGATCAAATGATCTCTCATCATGATATTGGAGAATTAGTAATCACCAACAAGAATATCTTGTTATCTCTCATTGGATATCTAATGATGCCTTATGTTAGAAAGATGAAAATTCATCAACTAACTATGCTCTTGACAAAGCTCTGATTGACAATGCAATTTTCTCCGGCGACAGCAAACGAACATAAATGTAGATAGACAGACATAGCATATGTAGATATGTGACGAACTTGACAGTTGAGAGTAAATCACGGTCAGACTGACAGCAACAGATTCTTTATCTCAACAGGGAAGCTCTCACACTTGTTGGCTCATTCAAATTTTACCATCTGCATGTCCTTATGTACATCGTTCAAGATACAGATTTATTCATTCATATCACGCCGTGATGATGATTGAATTGCAGCTCATTTGAGCTTCTCTTTCTTCAGAAAATTCATCTACTCACGGCAGGAAGATTCTTACTCAGGTGTAGAGATTGTCACTATCAACGATCAGCTTCGATATACATGTATATACATACATAGAAAAAGATACGCCTAAAAGTGTTTCATATCCTCCTATTCTCTTCTATATACATTTTTCTTCTTTATTGCTCTCTTTCTCTTTTTCTCTCTCTCTCCATCTTCTCCCTTTCTCCCTCTTTCGCGGTTTGTTCGTTAATACATAGCAAAAGAGAAAAGACAAACGAAGTATATACGTGCAACGCAATGAAGGTGTAAAGTCGAAATTAGTTGTTCATACATTCACCTAAGTTAATAATGTCATCGTCGGTATCATCGTCACCTCTCTCATATTCTCCAACTTCAAGTCCTGAATTAATTAAAACCAGAACTCATCACAAATCCTGCCATATCGAAATTGGCCTACTGATTCTTTTTCTTTGTTTAACAATTCCAAGTTTACTGTTTCTTACACTTATTTATCGACGAACGACAACATATTCCCCTCCGACAACATCCATATCACCGTCGACGCTACCGGATTCGCCTTTTTTCAAATTTGCATTCAATAGAAACTTCCATCGTAAATCATTAATCAATTATCCTCAAGCACGTTGTATGGATGATAGTATCGCTTCGTATTATATTCGTTTATCAACAGTATCGAATAGTTCGCGTTGGTTCATCTACTTCGATGGTGGATGGTTTTGTTATTCGAACGAATCGTGCTATTTTCGTCGATTATTCTCGCCGAATTTGATGACTTCGAATGGTTTTGATGAGAAAAAATCTTCTATAGGAATCTTTTCTTCATTGAAACAGTATAATCTTATTTATGTACCATATTGTTCGTCTGATCTTTGGTCAGGCTCGTCAAATGAAAGTCATTCACATGGATCGGATATTTTTCATGCAATATTCGATGATTTGAAATCAGATAAACGTTTTCAAAAAGCTCAACAAATTATCTTCACAGGATTTTCTGCCGGTGGTCTAGGTCTTTTATTAAATCTACCTAATTTATTACAAAACTTTCCTTCGACTATCGATCTTCGTGTTATCATCGATTCTAGTTGGTTTATTGATTATCCTGGTAGTATTAACGGTATATCAAAAATCAACGAAGGAATGGCCTATTGGAATACGCAAATTCCCTCTTCCTGTCATTTGAAACCTCAATATCGATGTTTCCTAGGAAGTGAAGCAATTCGCTTCTTTCCACCACATGTTCGAATCTTAATTATTCAATCTCTACTCGATCCAACCCAACTACATTTGGATGATGTGAATCTTCGTACGAATGACTTTTCACTTCAACTTAGAGAAAGTCTTCATCAAGCCAACGAACGCGTCTCAATCTTTGCACCAGCATGTTCGACGCACGGATTTTTATTTCGTTCATTGTGGTCACAATTTGATATTAAACAACGAACACTCGCTTCTGTTCTTAATGTATGGTTAAGAAGGAAGAAAAGAACTCATCTACGATTAATTGATCATCAATTTGATTCAAGTTTTTGTCCACAAAGAGAAAATGATGATGAGTTGTACTAATCTCTTCATATTCATCTTTGATGGTTATTATCTGTTTAAGCATTTCTTCTTCTTCTTCTTCGTTTTTTCTTGTGCCCTCATTCATTTTTCTTTCTGTTTATGTATATATGTTCGAAAATGAATATAATGAGAAAGAACAGTATTTGAAATGAAATCATTGTTTGTTTAACACGTCCACACATTCCCACTTCACGTAGACATTTTCATAAGCGATCAGCATGTTATTTAAAAAAAGCATTCGTTTATTCTTTTGTGTTAATCTGATGCCGCTCTTAGTCACCAATTTAAAAAAAAAAGAACGCTACTTTCAAAACGATTAAGAAGCGTGTGCGCCGCCATGTAGCAGAAAGAGAAGATGATTAAGTTACCCGGAGAGCTATAGATGCATATTACAATGAAAAACAGAATCAAAACGTCGTCAATCGACTAAGTACGTTGTTATTCTTTTCATAGAAGAAGGAGTGACGACGGCGGCAACAAATGACTACGATAAGAGAATTAATTGAAACCGTTCGAAGTGAATTACATCATGAATGAAATTGTCTTCTGCTTCCCCTACCTGACAATACAATCATCATTAGTGAATCGCTGTCTGTTAGAATAGAACAAGATAGAGAGTCAGATTATGATCATTAGTATATATGAAAGTCCAAGTATACGCTCGAGAATTACGCAACAAGAACATCTTATGTTATATTCATGCATTTCTTTTTCTTGTCTATTTTTTAACTCACTCTTTTTATCCCTATTAACGATACGATGGCAATGATGAACCATACATGTACGAGAAAAAGCCAAGACACGATAAGATAGACAGTAGGGGTGCAAAATGATTATCTCACACGTTTTTTTTTGTAAACATATATCGTCATGGGATAGAACTATTGTCGATCGATATACATCCCCGCATCAATGTCATGTAAGAGATGCTTGCAATGACAAATATGATTGACAGCAAACAGAGTAGAACATAGAACTTCCAACAGAGCATCTTGTTGACGCACATTTATTGAATAAGATTGTTAAAACAGCTTTTTCTTCTTCCCTCCCTCGTTCACTGACTGTTTATCGAATGCTAACATGGCGAAAAGAAAACAAGATGAATTTGGAATTTTGTTACTTTATATTTACAAGGAAGCCACCAAAAAGCATTCGATGCCGGATATTGATCTCGTCAGTGTCAAGTGACGTTATACACGATGTGAAAATATGTACGTATGTTGACAAAAGTGTGAGCGTATCGTTTTCACACATCGAAAAACTCATCAAGATTCTTAGTTACACACATCTTCATCGTCGTTTTCTTTCGAGTACGTGTGCGATGAGCACGCATTTGTGCTTGTATGTGTACATACAAATCTCAATAGATTAGATTGAAATAGAACAACGTATTACATGGGGGAATTTTCAGATAGTGATCTTCCGGCATATGCTCTTGTAACAAAAGAGAAGCATGTCGGAAATATAACTCGTCAGAATAGATGATGATAATGATGAATGCTTTTAGAATAGACATAGGGAGAAGAATATTGCCGCTTATATATATGTATATATTGTTGTTTGATGGCCACTATTGACATTGAGAAGAAAACATCAGAGATAAAACAAAAAACTAAAATACAACTAGAGTGTATCTGATGGTAACAGCTTGTGCCCATTAACGCATTTGTACTCAAGAGGATTTTTAAGAGAGAAGTCTTGTACTGGTTAACGTGTATACATTACTTTCTTGATAAATATGTATGCACGTACAGATTGAGTGTCTCGTCTGGTCTTGTCATAAGACATGAACAATGGACGCGCATGATCTTTTACGATACATGATTGAATCGAGTGGACAGATAAGGACGCGTTATAGCAAGAGATTGTGCTTTCGATTGTGTCTGTATGTATAGACATCCTTGATAGATATTAATTTGTTCGTTTTCAATCGACAGTAAAGCAAAGAGAACGATTCATTCTCTACTCTGTAATTCGAGTTGATGAGAGAAAGATGTCGAACAATGTGATCAAATTAGAAATGTGATGACAGGTCACACTCTATTCTCATGTCCAACCCATTTAATTGTAGAGTAAAAACGAACAAATACAAAGAAGCAACAGCGATGTATACATTCAATTTAGTATCGTTTGATTCAACATTGAACAATAAAAGCAATAGTGGGATTGATCTACCGAGTAAATTGAATACCGAACGATGTTCAATCAAAGAATTAAAAGCACAAATTACCGAAATACTTTCATTAGCAGAGCAATCATTTGGTAAATGAACAGATTGAACGAATATGATTTTCAACTGTCTGTGTCATGTAGATGTCTATTGTCAAGGTGTGCAATTGGTTGGAGATGATAAAAATCTCGATGATTATGAAATTGAACAAGATGATAATCTTGTCATCGTACCGAAAACTCAATTACCAAATGAATCAGCCATGGAAACATCCGCTGGTAAAATGCGTATGCATATGTAATGAGTATCGCACTGTTGGAATGATTTGTAGGATTACCAGGCAAGAGTGAATTACATCAAAGTGCAAAAACGATTGAAATATCTGCAACACCCAATGAATTCCATCGTGTAAGTAAATCGAAAAGAAACAGTCGATTGTTGATGACTTTTTGTTCGATTTCAATTAGTTGTATTGGTTAATGAGAACACCGGATTTCTGGAGAAAAATCACTCAAGCATTGCCTGAACTCTTATTCGATTCGAGTGCCTTAGGTCTATGTGAAGATTCCGTTCTTTTCTGCTTGAATCACGATATAAAATATCTAACAGAAATTGTACAAACAAACCCATTATTATACAAAGTCATTGCTCAAGTCATCAAAGAATGGACATCTACTAGTAATACAACTAATGCAAATGATATTCAATTATCACCGGGTAAATTTTGTGAGAGAGAAAAGACTGTTTTGAATAATGCGATGCTTTTATTTATGTCTTAGCTGCTTATTTTTTGAATGGCAGTCCACATTTGATCGAGCCAGCTGCACCACGTCAACCAGCGTTCAATGTTATGCCTCGGCGTATAACTAACGAAGATTTTTATCGTGCACTTGAACAAACAAATCGATCATCGACAACGGCGCGTCCATCGAATCTGCCATCTCAACCGACACAGAGACCGGCAGTCAATCGTCGAAATATCATCAGTATAGATCAATTACGAAGTGCTTTGCAACGAACTTCGACTCCATCGACACCAGTCACCACCGCGGAAACTACGACAAATGAACCGGCTAATGTACAAGCACTTCTCGATCAAATGAGGATCATGGGCTTAACTGATGAAGCAGCTAATCGACAGGCACTCGAAGCAACTAATTGGGACCTAAAAGCTGCTCTTGATTTGTTACTTGGATAAGATTTTTAAATAAAATATAATCTAGAACCTGCAAATACTAATCAAAAGAATTCAAGTCTTTCTAAATTGTTGAGAAAAGAAGATCATGTGCATTTGACAGCTATTTTCTTCCTTATCAGTGCGGACAGGTGTGGTGAGACTTAGAAATGTCATGTTCTTTGCTGTCAGAGACATGACATCGATGAATACCTTATTATCTACATCGGATGGTCTAAAGTTATCAATGAATATTTTCCAAAAACATGACAAATGAAGGCATGCATAGGAGTGCATGATATCTCACGTAAATACTTACCTAGTTCTTCGTATATAAGTAGCGATTATGCCAAACCAACAGTACTTCATTCTCATCTGTTCAAAGCATACATAAACAATAACGAACATGCAATCTACATTTATTGCTATTGTCATCTTTGCTGCTTACGGTTTAGCCAAAGGTAACAGTTTGTACGAACTCGAACCCCAAAATCGCGATGTCGGATTAGCGACTTGCGAAAAAATCTATGGATTAATGGCTTATCCACGTGTGATCAAAAACATTACAGTTCTTCGAACATCTCCACTACGCGTTCGTGTCTATCTTCTAGCTCAAGGTCCATCGAAATCGATTCCATTCAGTGTCGAAGGTATGGTATGTCAAGTTGGTTTCGATCAAAATGCTGCTAATGCCGCTTGTCGATCACAAAACTTTCACAATGCTGTGATGGTCACTGATATTGCCTGGCATGAACCACCTGCGTCATACGGTCAACAATGTATCATGGATACCGAATCGTACAAGAGTGTCATTCCGTGTGAATATATTTTACATCAATTGAGCTGTCCTGCATCAGCCACTAATTTAGTCGATTGTCGTTTTCCTCCGTTATTTAGTCAATCTTTAAGCTGCAATGCATACACTCATGTTGGACTTATTTGTACCTAAATGTGTAATTTTTCTTTGAGAAAATAAAATCGAACTACTTCTTATATCCATGTGTTCATTCTATAGCAAGAGTTTTTGCGCGAAGTAACTTCTCATCAAGAATTTTCTCCATCTCAAACGATGCATTTGCACTTCAATCCTAGTATTCTCGATTACATCCATTTAACACCACCAAGTTGGTCTATCACCACCATTTCTATGAAATTCTGTGCTATTCTCTTCTCCTTACTCGATTTTGATAAGACGAATCACTTAGAAGAATATCATATCCACGCTTTACTCATCTATCTAACGAATATAAGTAAAAATCAGACATCAACTCTATTCTACAAGCTAGGTAATTTCATCATGTGCCGTTGAAATTTGAAATCGATTTTATGTAAAGATCTTGATCGGTCTGGTGCAATGGAATTGGAGGAATTCTTTATCTTAATCTCTCTACTGATCGCAAATAAGGTACTATGAAATACGTCAAGATCACCTGTTGAAGACTACCATTATAGGACAAGAAAGAAAAAGAATTCATGCATGCACATTCGAAAACGGTGTTTGAATTGCTCGATGATGATAGTTCAGGAAGTATTACTGTTGAAGAATTTCAACGTCTTGGTTATCTTTTCAATCTTGATAATCGAGAAATTCGTATTATCTTCAAAGATTTTGATGTTAGTGGTGACGATGCATTAGATTATTCTGAATTTTGTATGTTCACATTAGCTTGTATTAATAAACAAAAGCTAATGAAGAAGAAACGTTTCAAAACCTTGCTCCAACGTCGTTTTCGGTTTCTAGCAAAGCAACGACAACCAGTTGTTGAATATATCAACAAAGCAATCAATGAATGTGTTCCGTAAATTTTGCCAGAAAAGTCATAAGTTCAAAACTCATTTTACTTTCAGAGGTTTACTCGTTTATGATGAAACTGATAGTTTTCCCCGAGTGAATTTTCCCAATGATTTAATTCTTCCTTGTCAACAATCGAATATTTACCATGATTCTTTACCTGCACCAATTACTTCTATCGTTACGGATTCTGTATTAGTAAAAAATTCTGTTTATGATCAGGAAACCCTGTCTGATGTATTCGATTCAATCGATATTCCACACAATGATTCTCGATCGACAAAATCACAATTGTTTAGTCAAAGTAATTATTCATCATCAAGTATATTTTGAAATAGATTGATATTATCATATGATTCTATTTCGGTGTTCGTGGTTTGGATGATCTCGAACTACTAGATTTAATTCGTTTCTGTTTTTCCGTTTGGCGTGGCTGTTCTTCTGTTGTATTTTCAATTTTACGAAGTTCTTCTTGCATATAAGATTGAACTAATTTACGAACTTCTACCAAATCTGAATTTTCTTCAGTTTCTAAAAGAACAAACTATTCGAGAGTTCATTATAATCATCGATGTTACCTGGGATCTGTTCTTGAGTAGCATCGACGTTTTCTTCTACAACAGCCGATTCTTCTATTTTTTGAGTCATTCCTTCGAATGTGAAATTTAAACTGAAGTCGACCTATGTTAAATAAGCCAAAAGGTTCTTTCGTTGTTTTCAACAGGAAACTTCGACATACGTATGGAGTAAAGATATATTTATACATTTTGATATGCCGAAAATAAGTATCGATCACATAATCCGTTATTTTTTTTGTTAAATCGGGTGTAAATATGCGTAAGTTATGTGGTGGTCTCTAGAACAACAAAGGAAATAGATGAATATCATGAGAAACATTCGTACATACAAATAAAGAATGTTTTAGAATCAGTGCTTTGAAGTATTCATATGTTTGTTCCATATTCGCGTATGATGTACCTAAAATTCACAGGCAAGAGTGAAATTTCAATGGATATCATTTCGGCGAGTTAACTTACGATTTGAGAGATCGTGAACACATTTCAAGATACTAAGAAACGATGAAATTTGTTCGTGATTGAACTGATTTTTACGAGCAAATTGCAAGGCATAGTAGAATAGATCGCATAGGACAATCGTTCGTTTGGTATTTCGTTCGAAACTAAAGATTTTGATGAAAAATCTACAACCATCGGTGAATTCTTTCTGTAGACACTGATCTAAAAGCATAATCTTACTCATTTATACTTTCCGGTTCGCTTAATTCTTCTAATTTTCTTGTTTGTTCACGAGTAAAATCCGTCCTATAGATAAATGATTACAAAAAGTTTTTTTTTACAAACGATTTATTCTGTTACCAAGTAACAATGACTGCTTTCGGAGGTGGAAGGTTCTATAATCAAACAGAAACTAGCGTGCTTTCTATATCCTATTCAACTTACATGCATAATTTAAATGACGTTCTATCGTTGACGTTAAAATAAAGAAGACGAGAGTTTTCGGCAACATTTGCCATTGCCAACGAACAACACATCCGTTGCCAAGGTTACGAATCGAGGTCGCCACAAGAAATTATCCATAAGATGAGTTATAACAATTGTTTTGGAGCAGTACATATCAGGTCTTCAGACAACAAAGCGTACATGTGAAAGAAACTTTGGAAGATATTATACATATAGATGTTTTGATACTGCACAGAATGAACATCACGAAAGAGCGAATGTGTCAGAATTATTGATACCATGTTTAAAATGATACAGACTCATTCGAGTAGTCTATTTTATTGTCATGTCAATTTCCTATGTTAGATGTATGTGCCACCCGTTCTGTTATCGTTTATCCGCATTTGCTTTGTTAGCGGAAGAACCGGAATATACTTCCTTCTAATTCTCTCGTCTAGTCATATATATCTCTACAGTTGTTTGGTAATATATCATACGGACTTGTTCAAGAAAGGTATCTATGAGTACTGCGTGAAAGAAAGTAATTCTTTCTTCCTATTGTTCTTTTTCAGTAGTTTTCCATTCCTATGAACGAAGTAAAGAAATGTTTACAAGTTACTCTGGGCAACGTCGAGACGTATAAACGCCGTGAACTCATGTTAAATAAAACAGAAAAGGGCAATATCGTGTTTGAACAAGTAAGGAAAGTAGTATAGAATAAGAGCTTTCTATTTTCAATCGATTATAATGGATTCGCTTGTTCAATGTCGTTATTGTATGAACCGTTTAACTCATCCATTGGAATTAGTATGTCGGCATACCTTCTGTTCGGATTGTTTAACAAAGGAAGTTAAAAACGAGAAAATCATCTGTCCTATATGTAGTACTGAGCATGCTGCACCTGGCGCATCGTTAGCAACAGCAAAAGAAGACAAACTTGTACCATATCTGATCGGTTTGAAGAAGTAAATTTCTCTTCATCGATCTCCTTGAACTCGAAAAAGATCTTGTTGATATCTGTTCCTTTAGTGATGAGACATACTCGTCAATTACTGATACATCTCCAACAACGATTCATGCTGAATGTGCTGGATGCAAACAAATCACTGATCTACGTATATGTTTCCATTGTGAAAAACCCTTATGTACTAGTTGTCGAGGAAGTCATTATGAATCACAAAGAAAGGACGTCGATCATTCAATTCAGAGTTTGTTAACTAAAACAAACGAACTGGTTGTTGTCGCTCGTAAGTACTCGAATAATTTTTCGAAGAATGAAATCGTATTTTCGGTTGTATGTAGAAACATTGAATACCAATCGAACGAATCGTATTCAGGAATATAAATTAATGAAAGACAAAATTACGACGCATGCAAATGATTTAGCGAAGATGTTACATGATGAAGAGCAAGCTCTTCAGAAGAAAATCGACGCAAGAATTCAATATGAAACTGAGTATGTGCTGAAAGTCACATTCCTTGCGTTTCGATTCGTTTCGTTCTAGACGGATTGCTACGACAGAACGTGAACAACAATACCTGCAAAAGAACAAGACCACTTTAGATCAAGTTATGGATAAATATCGAGAGTAGGTGATCGGCTGGATCTTCATTAAACAAATATTGATTGAAAATTTTTTTCAGTGAAAAAAATCAAATGATCTTAATGAAAATGCACAAGAATTATCTAGACTTAGCACCTAATTGGAAAGACAAATTAGATACTTATGCCGGTCGGATTAATGGGAAGAAAGAAGAAGTAAAAACTACAGAGCTTATTCAGTAAATCTTTGCCTTTTTCGTTCGATAGGAATTACATTTTCAACCAACCCAACCGGGAAAAAACGATGCTCTCGTTGGTAAATTAGTCGATTTGAAACCTGCTACTCTTCATACTGCGACAGGTTCTAAACCTACTTCAACTCCAGCAGCTAGTCGTTCATGTACCATCATGTAAATATATGTTTCAAGACAAATAAAAGCGCCAAATCGCATGACATTCATATCAACCTATCGATCAGATAGAAAGTCTTCTTTTTATTAATTTTTGTTTTCAAAAGCAAAAATAGATACACACACACACACACACACACACACATACACACACATATATAGATATATGTATCTCGGAATAACAAGAAAAGAAAAAGAAACTGAACATCTATATCAAAGGCAAAAGAAGAGTTATAAGTTGATAAGTCTCTTGTTTTGTTTTCTTTCTGTACAATAACGGTCCAAGTTTTTATCTGATAGATAGAAATACACAAAAAAACAAAACATGAAGATAATATAATACTACACACCGAATGAAGGAAAAGAAAGGTATACATAGGTTAATAAAGTCAATGTTCATCCTCGATAACTAGAACATTTAAGCGCGAGCTTTTGGTTGTTGTTGCAGTGATTGTGCATACGAAGCTAGAAATAAGAACACGTCAGATCTTTTTTTTCAATAGGCTGTGATGTGTATTCATATGTACCTGTTTTTTTGTATGCTTCTAATTCCTGTTCATAGCGTTCTTTCGCTTCCTTAGCCGCTTTTTCATATCGACGTTTTAGATCTTCGGGTGCCGAACGCCATTTTTCTCCGATAACTTTAGCAACATCAGCTACGGATAATGAAGCATTTTGAGATTTGACTTTTGGTCGTTCATCTTGTGAGAAAATGAAAAACGCAGACAATGGCCGTTTGGGTGCATTTGGATCTTTTTGTTTCGATACGCGTGGCATTCTTAGATCTCAGTCAATATCCTGTTTTCAAAACTAGTTCTAGAAGAAGGAGCATAGATGAGGTTTTTCGTTTATTTTCAAAACAGCCAAACTGTACATATTCAATTGACAAGTAAGAAGAGAACGGAGAGAGAGACTATATGCTTACTTGGCTTTGGCGGGAGTAGAAGAGGGCGATAGAGGTCGAAATGAAGCTGGCTAGCGAGGCGCTAGTTTCAATGTAAAATGGAAAGACGTGTATACGTGTATGTGGTGTGCTACGAGTGAAGCAAGCGCTTTTGCTTGCCTTGCCTTTACTCTCTCATTCTCTCTCTGTGTATGAACCACTGCAGTACCACACTACTACGTCTCTTCTTTCTCTTTTCTATGGCATGTTGTCGTATATAAAGTAATATAGGGAGTCGTTCTAATGCTTTTCTTCTTCTTTCTTCCTTTACTTATTCGTTTGCCGTCGACGGACGAACGTCTGTGCGCAGCGTTTTCAAGTGGTATGTGTGTATGTGTGCGCCTGGTTTTCTCTTTCTCTTCTGTGCACACACACACGCGCACACAGCTCGATTGATAGATTAGACGTTGTGTGTTAGATGGCTGTGTATGCTTGTGTGCGCGAACAAACGACGCACAGAGGAAAAACGTTGAAGATGAGAATGATGCATGCGTATATACTGCGCCTATTGATTCTACCAGTACTGTGTTCGTTCCAAATTGCTTCTCGAACAAGCAGTAATAGTATCGTGGCGGCAGCCGTAGAATAAAGAGAAAAGGAAAGAGAAGGCAAATACGCTTGCATTGTGTTAAAATGATGGGGGTGATGGATTTCTCATGGCGCTGACGGGCAGCAGTATTTTGTACTATCAGAAGAACGATGGGGAAAAAGAATCGAAGCGTGCCTTATCTGGGATGACAGAACTGAAGACTATGGAAGATAGACTGACATAAGTTACTTGTAAAGATGCATTATATTTCAGGTCCAACGATGTCCTAAATGTTTTTCAACAAAGCGAAACTGCTATTTGTCCTTATTTGCCATTATTAGCACGAATCTATAGACTTTAACTTAAAAATTTCGAATAATTTTTCTGTCATGTTTCATTATTTGTCATATATAAATACATGAGAGATTGCTCTGGAATCAAAAACAAATGTGAATGATAAAAGAAAACTATCGTCATATTTTCGTGCACATACTGGTGAGAATTTGAAATAATCGTAGACAAACAATATGTCGCTATGTCGTAATAACAATGAAACGAATTGAACTCGATGTATATCGACATGAATACATTCCAAATCGCTAGAAAACGTGTGTTTTCGCAAAAGTAAAGTAAGATTGCATTCACTCTCTTGGCACCCTTCACGAAAAATAGAAGAGGCGATAGCAAAAAGCAATGAATACATATCTGAATGCATATTTTCGTTACGAATGAATTGTACCGAAAGCACGAAAATGTTTTTCAAATCAATGATAAGACTATTATTAAAAGCAAGAATAGAAAAGAATGTTTTTGTTAATAATAGAATCACCAAATCAATTATCCATTTTGCACTGCTACTTGTATTTATCAATCGATAGTTTGCGTTTTTCGAAAAATTTCAATTTCTACGGTGTGTTCTCCTCTTCCATAACAGTAACTGGCGTCCTCTGACTATTGCCAAAAAAAGAGTTATTTGATAGGTATTTAATCATCCAATCAGCGAACAACCTATGTATTACAGAAAGAGCGGACAATGAAGTGAAATTGACTGGTTTTCTTACTTAATTTGTTTAGCAAAACAATTTTTGCTCAAGTGCACTGTCTGTTGAATACATTACTGATAGTTTTCTTTCATCTAGAGCCTTCAAAATGTCGATGAATAACTTTGATGCAGAGATGTCTCGGTAAGTACTTTAGCAACATTCTTCCTTTTCTCACAATTTATCTTGAATTTTAGTTTCGAGAACGAGATCTCGAACGTAAACGCGATCAATGGTCCACCACGTATGCCTTTGATGCCACCCGTTCCGCCTCCGCCCGGTATGTTTCCACCAATGATGCCGGGAATACCACCACTTCCGCCACCACCACCCAATGTCATGGCTCAATTAATGAACAATAATGTTTCTTTGCCTCCTCCTCCTCCAACGAGGCTACCACCGCGGCCTGCTTTTGTACCCCATCAACTTCGGCATCGTGTTCCTCAACAATCGGTACCATTTCCTTCAACACGAACACAACAGATGCCTCCACGGCACCCTTCACCACCGCCATCAGTAGGAAATTTGCAAAATTCCAATCCTCCTCAACAGCAATCAACACTCTCTGCCCAACCATTGTTGTATAAAACACAAACTCCAAATGATAAACCAGCCTCATCGATAGAATCAACTAATCCTATTTCTCAACGTCCGGCTGTACAAACACCAGTCATAGAAAATAAACCTGCTACAACACCTAAATTCGATCAGCCTGGTGTCACTAAACTTGAACAACATCCTCATCCAGTTAGCAAGGCATACGCATCATCATCGCAAGCAATGGATACTCGTGGTAAAAACGAATCATTGATCTTCTATGAAAATAAGGACCAATTTTGTTTTAGATCATGAAGGTGAAAATAGTTCTTCAAAGAAGAAAAGTAAGGCTAAACCGCCAAAAAAAGCTCGCAATGTTCGTATGGCTGGCGGCACTACATGGGAAGATGAAACATTGGCTGAATGGGATTCTGGTAAGAATTCTGTCGGATGACAAAACAGCATTCTCAGATATGTTTTTCTTTCTTTCAGATGATTTTCGTTTGTTTTGTGGAGATCTCGGTAATGAAGTCAATGATGACGTTTTAATACGAGCGTTTAACAAATATCCATCATTTCAAAAAGCGAAAGTTATTCGCGATAAACGTTCAGGAAAAAGTCGTGGTTACGGTTTTGTATCATTCAAAGATTCTCAAGACTATATTCGTGCCATGCGAGAAATGAACGGTAAAGTTTTTCCTTCTGTATTATTCATTTGCATGTTCGTCTTGCTTCTTTATTAGGTAAATACGTTGGTAATCGGCCAATCAAACTACGAAAAAGTACATGGCAAGAACGAAATATTGATGTTGTTAAGAAGAAGATGAAAGATAAAATCAAGATGGGTCTTAGATGAATGATTGTTCTCTTTTTCTAAATGTATACAATAAAAAAAAGAAAGAAACAATGATTAACTATTCGTCATTCTGTTTTATGAACAAATTTCCGATTCCTCATAGACCCTATTTCAGTCATAGCCAAGTTCTCAGTTTACATTTTGTTTTGACCGAAACGATTTTTCTATCATATGTCATTTATATGCGCCGAAATCAACCTTCGGCATCAAGAACATTACCTGCTGTAAACAGTTGTAAAGATAAGTAGCTATTTCTTGGCAAAAAAAATCATATAACATTACACGTTGTCATGTATGTACTATTTCAGATGGAATATACCTTCCTCGACTCGTGTCGATTCACTGAAAAATATGTAATCGATAGAACATCTCGTTTTTTTTACATCATACATATTTTATTGTATGTCGCAATGATCTCGTTTGTTTATAAATAGAACGCACTTTATGTCACTGAATTTTCCCTCTAGATTCAAGTCACGCATGATCTCTACCATTTTGTTTCATTGTGAAATAGATATTTTTCCCAAAATGCTTTATTTCGTCGATATTCACATCATACTTCCGTCGAACAGAAAAGGTTCAAATAACTAAGAAATTACATGTTGAGAAGTGCAAGTTGATCTCTTGATTGAATTCTTACTATTTTCCTCACGCACAATTACCTACATTTTCATGAAAAGAAAGAAAAAGAACTTTTTAGGTCATAATGATAATCGAAGGACAATGTATTCTCTTTATTTAAGCAATCAATAGATGTTGATAAACATCATTTCCGTTCACTAATCAAACAAAAGCCACATATGCTATCTACGAATACGTAATGCATGTGAATATTTGTGAGTTAAACATGACAAGCGCGACATAGAAATTTATCTTTTATAATTGAATTTAATTGTATGTATTCGATTTTAAAATTAGATGAGAGAAATGACACCTTGTCACATAAGAACACGTATGATGTAGGCGATAAACGATCGAATGATAGTAGTTTGTTCTTTTAGTGAAGTGTACTTGGATTCCCATTAGAAAAGTCATTGAAAAACTTATTAATACGTTCGAACCGTTGGGATAAATGTGTATTATCCCAGGTGAAATTCTATTCAGGTCAAAGTAGAGTAGAATATTTCCAGTACGGAGAATAAATTAAATCGAAGGCATATATGCATGTGAATAAAAAATCAAGGTAAAGGTACGAATAATTATCAATAAATGAGAAATGGAAAAAAAAAGAAATTAGTAGGCTGTACTGCGTATCTGATAAGAAAAGTCATCAGTGTTGACTATTCTTAGCTAACGAGTCAAATGCATGTTTGCTTTCGAAGCACTAGTTGACTTTGAATGTTTTTATCTTGTAGACGAAAAGTTTGTATTTCTTCTTTCTGTAATGTATGTAAGTTTTGTTTTTCGTTTCTTGTTTTCTACGTGAGACATACGATGCCGACAACACATGAAGAGACAAAAGAACGAACGTTTGAAAAAAAAAGAAGAGAATGAACAAACAGCTAATGAGAAATAGTGATTACAACCAACACACACACACACACACACACAAAGAGAGAAAATGATGAAGAAAAAGAAGAGTTGACATTGACAAACGAATAAAAATATAAAGAAGAAAAAAGAAAGAGTATAAGTTGATAGTAGTGTTTAAAGAAAAAGAAAACGTCTTTTTTTTTGTGTTTTGTCAAATTGGTTGCTGACCGGTTGTGTGTATGTGTGTTGTACACAGAAAAAGAATCTATAATAAACAATTACTGACGTTCTTCTGCTGGATTGGCTTCATCTGGATCAGGTGCATCACTTGTCCATAACTATCCAATAAATGTATATGAGAAAATTTATATTTAAATCTTTGTTTTTCTTACCGTGAGATTGTCTCGGAGTAATTGCATGATCAATGTACTATCTGAAAAGGAAAGTAAAGATATGAGTCATCGACTTGGCGATTATTCATTTGCGAATGACTAACCCTTGTATGAATCTTCGTTAAGTGTATCAAGTTCAGCAATGGCATCATCGAAAGCTTGTTTAGCCAAATGACAAGCGCGGTCTGGTGAGTTGAGAATTTCATAGTAGAAAACAGAGAAGTTCAAAGCAAGACCAAGACGAATTGGATGAGTTGGTTGCATTTGGTTCTTGGCAATTTCGAACGCATCATTGTAAGCACGTTGGGATTCTTCAATGACTTCTACAGAACAATCAGATATGAATTTTAGAAATGAAGATTGAGATTGTAGTCATGAACATACTTTGACGTTCGTCACCTGTAGCAACTTCAGCTAAATAACGGTAGTAATCACCCTTCATTTTCAAGTAGAATACTTTTGATTCAGCTGTTGTAGCTTTTGGAACGAGAAATTTATCAAGTAAGGTCTAAAAAAGACGAGGGGCGTTTCAAACGCGGTGAGAATTGTTGTTGAATACTTACCAAAACTTCTTGACAAATATCTTTCAATTCCTTTTCGATCTTCTCGCGATATTCTTTGGCCATTTGTTGTTTACGTTCTGAACCTTCGGTTTTTTGTTCAATACTTGAAATCACACGCCACGATGAACGACGGGCTCCAACAACATTTTTGTAGGCAACCGAAAGTAAGTTACGTTCTTCATTGGTTAATTCACTGTTTGATTCAGTGACCTTTTTCATTGCGTTGGCCATATCGTCATATCTAGATTTTCAAAATATGAAAATGGTGGTGAAAAGTTTCGAATGAGATTCATACCGTTCGGCTTGTTCGGCTAATTTGGCACGTTGTACTTCTTCTTCCTTGTTCGACATGATTGTTGATTATTTGACTTGGTGAATGTGAAATTTGAAAGTAAGCAGAGCTAATTAGATCTATAGAAGTAATGCGAATGAAAAATATAGAGTATATATACGCAAATCCAGTGTAATGAAAAAAGAAAGAGACGCAAGAGAGGGTGAGAGAGAGAGAGAGAAAACGAGGGAAGAAGAGAAAAAGACGACAAAAAATATATTGTACAATTTAGAAAGTTCGATCTTTGCCCGTTCCCAGAATGCGTCAGGAAGAGAAGGCGTAGGCATACAGCGGGGAGGTGCATGTATGTGAGCAAAAGATAGACTAAATGTATTTATTTGCTTCTCATTCTCTCTTCGTCTTCTTCTTCTTCTCTCTCTCTCTCTCTCTCTCTCTTTCGATCGCACACATCAGGCAGGAACAGCGAGCAAGTAGCGCTTAGCATACACAGGCTGAAACGTTTACTATGATTAGTCACCCGAATAAACAGAACGAACATCGGACGGAGAACAAACGCTATTATACAACGCAGCGTCATTGCTTAGCAACCGACTAAGACAGAAACGAACGAGATTATCGTTTTGAAATGAAAAGATGTCGCCAGCGGCAATCCCCAAACGATTTACGACCGTGTACTTGCATTCGCTCGATCTCGATGTGTGTATATTGAATGAACACTCATTTCTCTTCTCATTCATCATCGTCGCCGACCGGATATATGTACTTGAGTTGGAAGAAGGTTCACCATTGATAAGTGTAGAATAAGCAACGATTTGATAGAGGTAGAAATTAACATGAACCTTATCAAATTTGATTTCATCGTTTTTTCTTTTTCGCTCAATAAATTTTATGAATCTAATCAAATGAATCAATCATTGTCAAGATGAGTTTGGATTCAAATATATTCCTATTTAGTTCATCAATTTCATTCGAAAAACGTATTCTCTTTATTTAAGGCTTCTTCAACTTTCATGTAATTTACGTCTGGATAAACTCTTCCTAATGAGACACATCAAGCGTGAAATGATTTTCTCTTTTGTGTAGGAGAAAAAAAAACATACATTTTACTTGTCCTTCACATAAAAATAGGCAGAAAGATCTGCTCTTCCTGATCAGTCGTTTCAGATTAAAGAGATAGTTATCATGAATAATCATAACGAATCACACGATTCTGTAAATAGACAACTTTGATATTTTCTTCTCGGGGATTAGAAAAAGAAAGAAATCCTCCTTAATGGATCAATATGTTTCAGCGTAATGCCTTCAATGAAAGCTAAAGGATCACAGATTCTTCTTCTTCATCTTAGTTACGAAACACGCAAAGATAGGAAATGAAATTTGATAGCATGAAATACTCCTTACTTTCTTCCGAGTAAATGTTACATGAATATTTATATGAACATCTCTTCGTCTTTTCTTCTCGGAAATCTAGTAAATCATTCAATGTTTATCTCAATTTCTTCGTTGTTTAGACATGCAGAAAATCCTTTGAAAAAGACAAAGAAACAAACTAGTAACGTCTTAATTACATAGAAATGTCCTAGTTTTCAACAGGAAACGAACTCTTTTTGAAACACAACTAAGTGCAAAACAGTCCTAAATATAGGAGGTTAAATAATATTATTAGACAGAAGAAAATTAGCAGTTAACACGTTCTATTCGTCTTCAAATATAGTAACTATGCATGTTTGGCATGTATATCGTGTTTCATTCTAATTAACTATAGATTATGTGTGGGGTTCATCGATATTTTTGAGATATTTATATAAAACTAGAGTAAGTCGCCGTAAAAATGTCTGATTTATTCTTTTCAATCGAAGAAAAATCGCTAAACCCAATAAGCACCTAGAAGAAACGGTTGAACACTGTTAGCGCTGATTGGTTTTTTGCTATGAAACAGAAAACAATTTGGTACATATAAGACAATCTGAACGGAAAGCGACAGGAACGACAAACTGATATGAAACCTAATCCTAAAAAAGTTCATTATCAACGATGAATAAAATGATCACATATTAATCCGATGATTTTGGAGGATCTGTCTCATTTTTGGCAGGATCAGATGGAGTATTTTCAGTTGCTGCAGTTATTTCTTGATTGTTTGATGGAACTTCTGAAGCAATTTCAAGAACTTTTTCATCCGATGTCGATTGTTCATTTGCATTTTCGGGTTGAACGTCAGTAATAGTTGGAACGAGATCGGACGAGGTTAATAGAACCTGCTCATCTTCTTCGATATTATCTGGCTCTTCCTAGGAACAAAAGAATACAATATTAATGAATATAATCCTCAAAGATTAATATAGAAAAAAGAAAATTTATGGGTCGTGCATGTTTCACTAAATGATCAGATAATTCTTAATTCTGATTAATTAAAAACCAATCTTCGAGCATATCTGAGTCAAGAACTAGGCTAACATTGGCTCCTATTCAAATTTATCGATTCGTATAGTTTGACACTCATTTTCTCAAAAGTCAGAAAGGAACTTTCTCGTCTTACCTTCGTGTCATCTCCTTCATTAGTGAGATATTGACTGTTAACAACATCTTTATTTTCTCTGACGAGTATCACCAATAAACATTGATCATCGGTTTTGCTTTGAACAATAATTGTCACATCTTCAGTTTCTTGAATATGCTGAATGACTTCTTCTATTGCTTTTCTTTCGTTCACATCGTCTATTCCATGCAATCGACATTGATTTGCTAATGGCGATTGACGATAAATTCCTTCATCGGGTAACACGTACAATTGCTCAGAAGTTACATTCAATAAAACATTTCCGTAATCAATACATTTAACATCGTAGCTTGCATCAGTCATTGATAAAATTTCTCCACGATAAAATTTATTTTCTTCAGTCGAAACGATGCATAAGTTACCGATTGACCATTGATCCTGACGAGTTTTTTCACACAAAGGCAATTGTTCTTCCAATTCACAAACATGAAGGTTTCCATTCGGTATGACATGAATATAAAAGTAATCCTGATCGGTCGCACATATCTTCGCGATGAATGTAGCTCCCGGCTCTATTGTGACTGCTTCAACTTGTTCGGCAGATACTGATCGGTTGTAAATGCTATCCTCGTTCTCGATTTTCACATGAATTGTACACGCATTTTCATCGACAATATAGAAATCAATCGGTTCATTTAATTGCTCTGCTAATAATGCTTGAACGACATCGTTCCAGGTGTCAGTTGTAATACCAGCTAGAGTGTATCCATGGGCTTGAGGTTCGATTTGCTTTAATTCATCTGAATATGGGTATAAATGTGCAGTTGGAACGTTTTCATCAATGTTGCCGTAGTCGAGAAAATAAACATTGTAGGAATCGAACGTTGCGGAATGAGATTCAATTCGAGCACGATAAAAGTTGCCATCGACACTGAATTTTGCGATGACATAGGAGCCGATTTCATAGGATGATTCGTGCTGATCTGCATCGGTAATTGTTTCTATTAATTCTGTGATCTTATTAATAATATCGTCGGATTCAGGTAATAATTGAATATATACGAATGGTTTATCCTCCTCGATGTGTGTCAGAATTCCTTGCCGATATTTCGATGAAGTTTCTAGAAGAAAAGGAAATATACGATCATAATCGATGACTAAATTCAATACATACCTTCTACTCCAGTCTCCGATTCATCGGTAATCGCCGGTTTTAAGACATCCGATGTGTTTTCATCTGTAGGCACAATATTTTCAATTGTTGGTATTTCAGCTTTGACTGGAATTTGCTTCTGTTCTTCGACTTCTGTTGTGCTTGGTTTCTCACTAATTTCTACTTGAGGATCGTATCCAAATTTTTCATTAATACACGTATTTTTGTTATAAAGGATGACATTATGAACTTTATCTTGCTGGTTGATAACTGCATATTCGATGCCATCAGAGTCCGACATTTCTTTGAGATATTCAAATGCATCGTTGACTTTCTCTACTGGTATGCCATATAAGTGACATTCCTTGCTTTGAGGTGGATATTTGCTCAAACTTTCACTACATCTTTTCAATGAATCTTTTGGACACGAACTAACATTGCCAAAATCGATAAAACAGACGTTAACGTCGTTTTCGGAGGCATTCGATGCGATAATAGCGCGATACGGTTCATCGTCAAAGTTCGCGAGAACAACTGCATCGGATGTTAATTCCTTTACTTCATCGAATGAAAGTATGGGAGCAGTTTCATTTTCTTGTTCTACAAGTTCAGCAATTTCTTCTGCAGTTTTGGCATCATCTTGAATATAAAATCGTTGTTGTTCCTTTTCGATATGCACAATCGCACATGGTACACGTTTTAACGTCACTTCGGTCTTCAGCCTGAAAGAGAAAAAGATGCGTTCTCAGATTTCTCCGCCAACCCACTGTTCAGTATCTTACTTGATAGCATTGATATCCAACAATAGTTTACGAAAATCGTCCGATTCGAGAAGATATTTACCATCCGCAGTTTTGCCTTCGATTTTTCCACTATATTCCTTTTCAATACAGTTTTGAATTATACTCTCTATACTAGTAGTTTTAACACCTAAAGAAACAATATGATTTCTATGTTCTCGGTTCTACAGTGACAAAATACCTTGCGTATTTTTAAATGTGCATCGATAAGCATATGGAGTAGTCGTACAATATTTCTTTGCTAATTGTCGAATGGAATTGGAATCAACATTAGACGGGTCACCAAAATCAATAAAACGAACTTTCAAGCTGGTTACACCAGTGGAAAGAACAATAGCTGAAAGACATAAGACATGTATAAATTCTCGAAAGTGTATGTCAACGCCTATTACCTCGATACCAACATTCATCCGTGCTACGTGCCAAACATGCTTGACCGACTTTGAATGAGCTCAGACTAGCTTCGGGTGACTGCTTGAACTCAGTTTGTAAAGTTCCAGTAAGTCGTGATAATTCGTCAGCTTTCGACATCAATTGGATGAAAAAGTCATTTGGTGATTCAATGTGACTTATGACAAATTTGAAGGTTCCTTGAGGTACTTCAGCATCAGTAAAACAATCACCGGCTTCAAAGTTAGCACTAGCCGATCGCATCGTTGACCAGCTATGATTTGTACTAGACAATGATCTATTTTCTGAGTTTAATTGTAAGTCGCTATTATCACGCTCTCGATATCCGCCGCGGCCACCAGCGCCACGGCTACCCGGTCCGCTTCCGAAGCCACCTAAAGTCATGACATAGAATCTGATAATCATTCCTCTCATTGCAATCTCATACCTCCACGTTGTCCTCGACCATCACGGTTGTTTAAACCACCGCGTTGATTTTGAAAGACCCCATCGTTACGATCTCCACGATTGTTGTTGAAACCTTGTGAGCGAAATGTACTATTCTCGTTGTGGCTATCTCGATCTTTGAAAAATAGCGATTTGTATTTGTTATTGATAGAAATATGAAATTTTCTAGTGAATGCTTACCACCGCGGTTAAAAGCGCCTCCTCGTCCTCGTTCTCGTCCTCCTCCTGCAACGGTAGAAGCGCAATTCATTGCTCAGTTTTTTTCAACAAATTACATACGATTAAATCCACCGGAGAAATGAGAACCACTTTCATTGTTATTATGGTCACTGTTTCGATCTAAATTACGACTGCTAAAGCCACTATGACCTATTACATATACACATTTAATCCAATTACCCTAACTATTGTTAAATTACCTCTTCGGTCTGCGAAGCCATTTCCACCACGGTTGCTAAAGCCGCCTCGTGGAGTATTACCCTCATTTCTTTGAGAAAAGCCACCTCCGCTCATTTGTTTTTCATTGTTATCATATGTTTGAAAACTTCCTATAATCAAATATCAGTTTCATATCACAACTGACTCCACTCATACCAGATGATCGTTTTTGGTCAAATGCTGAGGATTGCTGTTCACGGAAACGATTTTGGTTATTGTTTGGAAATGTTTTACTGGCATCTTGTCTTTGATTATTACCAAATTGAGATGAGCCCGATGATTGTCGATTGAAAGATTGTTGATTTGAATTGTTATTGAAAGTTGATCTCACATTCGAATCGTTATTCCATGTATTTTTTGATCCACTCGATTCAACTGTGAATGATCCTTGTGGCAACCGTGTACCGGCGTTAGAAAAACGTGACATTGGCTCGTTGGATGAAGTTGGTGCAGACGAAGCTTGATTATCACCACCGAATCGGCCCACTCCCGGACGTACAGCACCCGTTAGAAGTTTAGGTGGAGGATGTAAAACATCAGATCGTTGACCCATATTCGGTCGCTCTCCACTGAGAGTCGGTCCGCCTGTTGATGGAAATCTAGTATTCGAGTTATTGAAGACTCTTGAACTAAAATGAATTTTATCAGTAATCAACGGAAATAGTATTTTGTTTACCCGAATAAAGTATGTTGTGTGGGGTCAACATTGCCTTTCGTATTTGCATTAGGAGATGTTACCTGAAAAGAAAGATCGATATTTTGATTCTTTTCAATATGAACAAAAATGAAAAACAGATAAATACAATTTTATCACTGGAAAGAAGCTTATCATAGACAGATTGACCATCAGGTAAATCGACGTAAGCGTCATAACAGTCAGAAGTGACTTGGCCTGTTAGTTGTACATGAACATGTTGATTGAGTATAAGTTTCTTTAGATTACGTGTAACATGAGTTGAATTTTGCTGAAAAATTCAAAAATGAAATGTTGCGTCAAACAAACTTGTAGCATACTCTTTCATCGTAACCGTTCAGACGAAGTGGTACAGCAAATGGTGGTACTGATGAATATCCTTTTTCAGGTGCTAATAATTCTGATCGATCAACGATAATTTCATCACCACGGTCGATCAATTTAACCGACACACGTGATCCATGTTCGAATCGTCTACATGGAAAAAAAAAGATTAGAGAATTAGGAGAAAATCATTTTCATTGAATTACTTTAGAATCACACGATGATACTTCTCGTCCTGTTGTATAACAAATAGTTCTCCTTCCGACGCGGGTTTAACATTGACAGTTTCATCGTTGCCAGAATGATTGTAATGTTTTTGTAAATGGTCTGAAAAATTTTGGAATTCCTTGTCACGATTTTGGGAAAGACCATAGAATTCTACAGCACTATGAACTTGAAGTATCGTATAAATTCCATTCTCTAATTATCGAGATAGGTAATTCACATGTAGGAAGAAGAATATCTAAACTCACGTGGCGCCATCGTAGCAACATGAGCCTGTGCATTGTTATTCCTTCTGAAATGATTGATTGATAATGTTTGCAAAATAATCGAAATGATCTGGAACTTACGATCTATTCGACGTCGATGAGACTGTAATAGTTCCCGATGTAGGATCGAATGAACGCATCTGTGATTGCTGAGCCATAGTGTTTGGATTATTTCCAAAGGCAGATCTTGACTGCTCATTTTGTTGCAATGCTGATCTTGCAAATTTCAATCCTCCGGAAGCCAGTTGATTTTGGATATATGTTGCCCGTGGATTTCGATCGGAAGTAAAAGCTGAACGTTCTGATGGATGCATTTTAGTACGAGCAACGAGATTTCTCTCACACAGAAATGTACCAAGATCTCCTGCTTCTACAATACACAAACAAAGCAATGAGAATATTGATTTGTTTAATCTAGTTGTTTTTGTTTTTCTTCACAAAATATCTATGAAGTATGTAGACCAAGATAAAATGTGTAAACAACAATTATGAAAAGAATGCTTGCGTCTAATTAATTAATGACATTCGAAATATGTAAAAAATGAATGGAAAAGTTAAAATCATGTGAATTGAAGAGAGAAGTAAATGAACTATTTCTATAAAATCGTTTTTACCCAGTATTTGAATACATCTGTTAGATAAACACAGAAACCAATACAACACGTTTGCTCACGCGACAGATAGCGCTACTAATCGAAAGGGGAACAAGCTCTTTCCATTTCGGCATCTACCGAAAAAATATACATTGTACGCTAATTGATTTAAGCAACAAAGTATTAGTTGAAACTACATTCATCCTGAAATTTTCGATGTTACTCAAATATTCAGTACAAAGGCCTAGTCATTGACATGTGCCTAGTTGATAACATTGAAATCACGTAATGTTCTATAAAACTGATTCGTACGTTTTTCATTACTTACTGGGAATATCTATCTCTATGTCATAACATATTTGGTCATATTTTGCACATATTTTACATGTAACATTATTCGTCAAAAGTCGAGTAATTTCGTCATGTACTGGATCATCAGATGTCCAGATCGATTGCTCATTGAAGTTCATTGGACACACATTAAACAGTCGACATGGAATGGCAAAAGCCGGTTTGCGTTGAAACTCTTCTGGAAGTGGACGAATATTATGTATTGAAGTATATTCATATTGACCAATATCCGTGAAAAACACACAAATTCTCGATGAAGTTAGATTGATATCTTTAACAAAACGAAAAACGTATGACTAAATCAATTCATTACTTCCCAGCAAACCCGTTATGATAGCACGATGCCATATTGCGTGATTATCCTGCACTGCCATCATTTGATCTTTTGCAGGCGGTGTTATGGTTCGGAGATCGTGCACCGCCTGTTGCAAATCAGTTTGGAACTAGTGGAAAAGTAGAGACAATGATAGTAAACAAGATATTTCTTCGATATTAGTGTTTACACTAGTATGTGCGTTGAATTTTTCTTTTAGATAAACATAGAAGTGACTTGGACTGATGTAATAGAGTATTCGAATTTGATATGACTGATTCAATTCTAACTTCTCCATTGGAATAACTACGAATAAGACAAAAGAAGATGAATGATCATAAAGAGTATTGTTCGGCATACATTTGTATAGATGTTTATCAGTAGGTCGTATCGTTGGACGTTGAGATTGGTATCGCTCTATAATTCGTAAAAAAGAAGATTCGTTTCGTTTGTCGACATGTGCGGAATCTTACCGAAATCTTTATTTATAGGTATTTTCGAATTCTTTTCAGCGATTTCAACTTCGGAAATATCTCTTATTTCGTTATAATTAACAAATTTTGCGAAAAGAAATGTTGTCGTTAGTCGCGAACGAAATTCCTCCACAATGTCGAGTGGCCAACCGTCGATCGGCTTTATCAAATTAGCCAATGAACAGTGAAATGCTAGACGATTTAAAACAAAGTATCTTTCCTAGAAAAAATAAAAACGTAAAATCTTTCACCAATTCATACTTTCACTCATTTCTTACATGCAAAGGTCGAAGAAATTGAATCGGTACACATTGAACATCGCCGTAATCTAATTTGAACACACTTGCATGACCGTTCGAATCTATCTGACGTATTAAACCACGATACCAGTCTTCACTTTCAGATGGGCACGCACAGTAATCACCGACGTTCAACATCTCGTCTGGTTTCAAAGGTTTTCTAAAAGAAGAAATTCGTGTAATGCTTCCGAAAAGCGACGACATTTACGTTAACGAGTCCGAATATTCATCGTAGAGTTCTTGACCAAGTTTTCCAAGTGAATCTCGAAATAATTCCGAATACAAATAGAAATCTACGGAGAAAACTTTAATGAAAATTTCATCAAATAATCAACAGCATACCATTGAGATCGTTGACATGTGCGACGTAAACTCGTTCAGTTGAACCAACGTGATGATTCAACGTTGGAATTTCCAATTTATCCATGAAAATCTGAAACTTATATCAATTAGATATGAAACACAAGCAAACCAACTGACCACGTGTGTGTAAAGTTAAATGAAAAAGAAAACGATCAATAGATTAGGAGCGCCACAATCGAGTTCCTCATTCATATCCACCGATTCAAGTTTCACCCAGCCGGTCTATGTTAACGGATTTTAATCGGTGGTTTTGTGGCATAGGTACGAAGAATAGTTTTCTTTATGATCATTTACTCTTCGCTGTTTTATATTTCCTGACGGAGAAAAGTTTCATGCAACAGAAAAGAACCGGTTGAGATTCGCGGAACGTGCGCAAAAAATATCAAAAAATATCAAATGAACAACAAAGAAAAAAAAAGAGAAACTGGTAAGATTTTTAAGATGAGTAGCTTGAAAAAAAATGCAACGCCACCGGCGCGAAAAAAAGTATTCACTATACGCCGGAATGTTCTACATCAAACCAAACATTGATAATTGATTTGCGTACATCATTGGACGAACAGCTGGATGAGGTACAGCTGTGTACGATGTGAACTTCGGTGTAACGTCATCACCAGTGATTGTTATATATGCACCTTTATTTCCCATCGAATCACAATAGTTCGGAGCCGAAAATACAGTAATACATTTTCCTTGAATACAAAAGATACTTATGAATGAGATTACTTTTGGAAGATGATGTTTACCGTTGTGAGCTAATTCATAGCCTTCTTGTTTGACTTCATGGCTGCGAACAATGTATTCTAAATTGTTTACTTTCAAAAATCGTTCAGTTACATCTGGTCCAAATTGAAGCCCTAATTGACATTCAAACAAAACCATTACTATTCTTGGGGGAGTGCTGCATACTAACCAACACCACGTTTGCTTTCCGATCGACCAGCTTGTGGTTGCGGATCACTCCACAACAATTCCGACATTAAACCTTCTTCTGGTGGTTGTTTAACACGATCAACAGCACGTATATCTTTCAGCGTTACATCATCTTTACTAAATAAACCTCCGTGCATTACCTAGATGAAGATTCTATGTAATAAATCGATCGAAGTGTAATCAAACATACTAGAACTTTATTATTGATACAATGCGATAACGGTAAATAGTTAAAAACTTCAGTAAATAATTGAAACATTTGTGTGGTGTACTTCGCTTTGACTTCACCTTCGAATCCGTACATTTGATTCATTGTCAATGATTCGTGATTACCTAGAAGAAGCGATCAACAGATATCAATTGGTTTCAATAAGAAAGTATGACTTACCTCGAGCGAGAAAGAAGTGGTCGGGATAGAGCAATTTGAAGCCAAATAAGGTAAGGATACATTCCATACTAAACGAACCTCGATCAACAAAGTCACCATTGAATAACTAAACGAAAATATCTACTATTCTGTTGACGGAGTGATAAAAGGTGAAAGTTACGTATGGATTTTCTTCGGACGGTGGTCCATTCAATTTGAAAATATTCAATAAATCATAGAATTGTCCGTGAATATCTCCACAGATCGTAAATTTATGCTTCTAAAAAGCAAAATTTCTTCTCTAAATGCTGAACTCTCACTATATGAAACATACCGTTGGCACAGTAACATCAATCAACGTTGGTAATGATTTCAATAATGTTAGTATTTGCAAAATAATCTAAATTGTCTCACTGGAAACATCTTCTCGTCCGAATCGGATTTCCTTACTTGATATGCATACTTCTTATGAAGTTTCTTCTGATTTTCAAAGTATGGTAACAGCTGGAACATAAAATCACTCGTAACTCGCCCATCACTTTCTAAATGCGGACCATCGTATTCTTTTTCCACAGCTGAAATATCAAATCAAAATCGAATTAGTCAAACACAAAAGGCAATATTCATTTACTCATAGAATTGAGATCGATTTGATTCACAACCGATTTCGCAGACTCATCAACAGCAATAGCTTTCTCGAAACGAATACGTGTCACGATCTTTTTACATTCTTCATATTTCATCAATGCATCTTTATCATTCGGACAAGCTTTTTTCACCTAAATTCATCCTAATCATATTTCAGAATATCTTCAACAGAGAATTCTCACATATTCATAATCTCCCAATGCCAACGCATACTTTCCTAGAGCCATGTGAGCTGATGCGCGTCGATAGAATGCCTAAATGGAGTTTTCGTACAACTTCTTTCGTCAAGAAAGAACATACTTTGATGTATTTCGAATCGTATTCCAACGCTTTTTTCGCATCGATCAATGCATAGCCATACCATTCCCGACGAAGGTAAGCAAAACTTCGATTGGAATACAAAACAGCATCGGGATGAAGTTCGATTGCTTTTGTATAAAGTTCCGTTGCTTTTTCATAATCACCAACTATGATAAATTCGATATGATTATAAAAACAAAGAATTGATTTTACTTCTAAACGCTTCATTTGCTTGTACTTTGATCATATCTGCTGCATCTTTACTGATCGGTATTTCATTTTTCGCTGCTTCTAGACTGCTTGTTTCTAATTTTTTAGTTAGATCTGCTTCAACGTTTGTTGACATCTAGAAAAGATCATCTAACAATCAGCAACTCGATAGATCAAATCAAATCGACATTCTCTTCGACAATGAAACTCTATCAGACTATTCTTTTCATGCAGAAAATCAATTATACATCAGGGACTGAACACAAAACATTACTGATCGAAAGTATCGAATATAGACACTCTAATGCGGTTAGTACACCATGTTCTATTGAACCGGTCTATGCATACATACCTCGTCGTTGTATTCTGTAACTATGTTAAGAAAATCGATCTAGAAAAGAAAGTAAAGTAATAGAATGCTTTGCTTTGATTCAAACTTCGAGAGAAAACTGATCAGCCTTTTTCTTACAGAAAAATCATAGTTCTAATGAATATTTTATAGGAGATATGTTTTTTCTTATTATGTCGATTTCGGTGATGGAAATGCATTAATTTGATTATAAGTCATGATTTATAGATTGAACGAGACACGCCCGCCAATTGCCTAATGGAAATACACTGAATGACAGGAAAACGTAGAAGTAGAGTAGACACTACAGTTCAATTGCAAGCACATCGACCCCATGCACCAAGTTTTCTGTGCAAATTAACGAATTGCTTTTTTTATAACAAAAAGAACTTTTTGTTGGTTCTTTTTTACATCTAACGAGATAGATTTCTTTCTACGAAATCCTACAGTAAAGATTCGAAGGAAAGAATGACTAAAAGATTCCAACAAATAGGAAATTCATCTTATTATTAACTTTATTTATGGAAAACAATCCAGCGAAACCTTTTCTGTAGACTAGCGACATCATTTAGATACGATACCAACTTTTCTTTAATCTAAATGCGATGTGCAGTTAGATCACAATTTGTGATCAGATTTCTCTATGTTCATTTGTATCGATTATATCATCGATTCATGTATATTTAATATCTAAAGTCAACTTTTCTTTCAGAAGTGAATTCAATGCGAATGTTCATCAACGTTGACTTGACACAAACAAAATCAGGCGTCATCATTTCTCTAGTTTTAATCATTATTTCATCTCGCGTTTCAAGTTTCATATTATATCAAATAAAAAAAAAACTTGCGGATCGATTTTCCAGAAAAGTAAATGCACATGTTAAATTTATTGATCGATGACAAAAAAGAATTCATATGGACAGATTCTCCGTTGTTCACATGAGCCACCTAATCCTTTATTCTCTCGATTGATTAGTAAATGACAGCAGATCGAAGTAGAACAATAGACCAACTAACAGACTATAATGTGTCTCTTATTACCACAATGAAAGCACGAATCAATCAAATAGCAACACGTTCACCGCCGTCATCATCATGATTGTTTACTTCTAAATATACATATATAGTCGCCTGTCATCCGACTAATAGTTCATAGTGCTTGTGCTCGTGTGCTGATGTTTGCTTACTGTTAATCGATACCCCACCTTCTTCATCATCATATTCTACCAGTCTGTCTATGTCGAGATGAATGATGATCGAAATTTGAAAACACGTGTGCTGTATGAGAATATGTTATCAATGAAATTTCAATCAAGATAGACGCATACTCTTGAAATGTTTCGATATGCATAAGATGATTTTCTTTACTGATGATAATTTACCGCTCTTTACCTACTGGATATGTACTCACACCCTTTTGAGGAGTATATCAAGAGAGAGAGAGGGAGAGAAAGAAGAAACAAACGTATGAATTGCAAGTTAAAAAGGAGATTTTTCGAATCAATGCGAGAAGATATGAGAAGAACATTGATTAGGATTGTTCATGGACACAAACTCTCGCTGAAGTCTTTTCGTTTTTCGAATGAAATCGCTTTATGATATATTAAGATCGATTTACCTATGTATTGATTTAAAGTCTCACGCAAAGAAAAAAAACACGGAAAAATCTTAATAAAAAATATTGATTTTCATTGCAATAGACATAACAAAAATCTATCAAATGCAGTTTTTCTTTCAATTACAAGAAAAAATTGACATATTCTCTCGAAATTTATTTTAATCACAACATATCTTCTATAGATCTCTTGTCATTTCGCACATACTTCGCTCGCTCGTTCGTTCGTCCTTCTCTGTCATATAAACGATGATTACATCCAATCAAAAATTTTCTCTTCTCTCTCTCATCGATTCATTCAATCAAATTCAAGCTTGAACTCACAAGTATCAATGTCCTCTTACAAACATATATATATATACGCTTCTCTTCTTCTCATCATCATCACCTTTCTATATTACGAGGCAAATAAAATATTTTATTCTCCCTCTCTCTCTCTCTCGTTTTACGTTGCAAATACGACGACATTAGCGTGAGTAAATCGAGAGCAAACATCGCTCTATTATATACCGATACACACAAGCACTTTCTCGTACTCGTATTGGCCTATTCATTTGTTGCACACATACACCTCTCCGACAACAACGACGACAACTCTTACAAGATATTATCTTAACTTGACTTTTTTCTGTTGCTGTCTATTTTCATTATAATATATTAGATATCTTAGAAGTACACGAATAAGATAAGACAGAACAATGAATTGCTCTGTGTATACACCATCTTTTTTACCGTATCGAAATTCTCATCCCCACCCATTATCATCATTTCGTATTGATGATATTTTGAAAACACCGACAGCGATTTCACCAGCAGCTCTCGATCCAACAACACTATGGTCATCGTTCGCCGCTCAACTTTTGGCTTATTCACCTGAACTTTTATCAGTTGCGACGACAACAACAACAACATCATCATCATCGTCGTCATCAAATGATATTTCACCACCAATACCAAACTTAATTTCACCACAAAAACATCTTCATCATCGACATCAATATCATCCCTATCTTTCAATATCTCGACATTCTCCACCAACAAAACTTCAACATGATCCTACTTCAATTTTAACAACATCAACAAATAAAAACAATTATCAACATACACTTTCCCCATTATCAATTAAAGACAAAATCCAACATCAGCAGATCGACAGGAAAGGTATGTTCAAACAAAGATAACCCGAACGGAAATGAACGCATATGTTCAGATAGAAACTCGTCATGTTTCGTCGATGAGATTTTCAAGGCTAGTCAATGAGAATAACTTCATTATCTTTTCCTGACATGTATCATTGATAAAAATATAATTACGATGCTCTCGAACTTGCCATTCAACTTTTCATTTCGTTCGATGAGGGTGATAAAAAGTAATATAACAACTAATGATCTATCAACAACTTCGCTGATACATACATGTACATATTTCCTCAAAATCAAACACTTGTTGACGAGAAAAATCAATAATATGTACAGCGACATGAGCTGATCATCATAGCCATGTGAGGAAAACAATAATCCATTGAAGAAGTGATAGTAGTGTTAAGTGCTCATCGACTTAATTCGTGTGGTGAAAGAGTAAACAAGAAAGTTGATTTTGTATTTGTTTTTTTTTGTCAATGCAGATTGTTTATCGTCACATCATTCGGTACCATCGACAAGCGCCGCCGCCGCTGCTGCTGCCGCTGCTGCTGCATATTGGCCATATTTGTATACACGTTGTAATCCAACCTCAACAGGCAATGTTTCACGTCGTAAAGGTGGTCAGATACGGTTTTCTGCTGAACAAAGTTTGCAATTAGAGAAGAAATTTGAAATCAGTCAATACTTATCGCCTGTCGAACGCAAACAAATCGCTAAAACACTTCAATTAAGTGAACGACAAGTATGAATGAAAGTGTTTTTTGGCCATTGAATTTTCATCTTCTTCTTTAGATCAAAACATGGTTTCAAAATCGACGCGCAAAACATCGTCGATCTGCTGCAACTGTCAATAAGAAAGTAAGAAGCTTTCAATGAACAAATTCAAAAGAAATCTTCTTGATTTGCAGGATTTAGATAAATCGTGTTCATCACCACAACAAAGCGATGATGAAGATGACGACGACATCGATGTTGACGATGCTGCCGATGAAGAACATGCAACATCATCAAATTCAAACTAATGTTCTGTTCTTTATTTTCTGCTTTCCGACCTGTTTGGGACGTCAATGTTTTCTTTACTTTCGTTCGTTTTTTTTCTTCTTTAAATACATTTATATGAATGAAAAACAAAATCGAAAATTCATTCCTTTCGACCAATCATCGCACGTTTTCTGAACACATACGATCATCTTGTCTCGATCTATGTCAATAGCTTAATGTGATAAATTAACATCATTTCGTTTTTGCACGTCGAATCTTCAGTCAACACTTACACATATTTTTATGCAATCTTTTGTTATGAGTAGTGAGAATGTTAGATAGAATGTAAAGCGTGAGTACGCGTTTCATTCTTAAGTAAACATTCGAGATACGACGAATTACTATTTGCCAACGTAGGTTTCGACGCGTTTTCAGATTGCAACAAAATAGAATGACTTTAAGTGAAAAAAGCCTGTATTTACACATCGACGTGACATACGCGCAGGAGAATTGAAATAAAAACTAACATATGACTATCTAGGTCAGTATGGATGATGAACTATATTTAAAGGTTATACGAATAAGTAGGAGGCGATTAAGAGCATGTCTGAGTACAATGAGCTTTCATGATTGATCTGTTAATCTAACATTTATTAGGTACATGATCATGTAAAAGTTCTTTTGACGGAGATGTCGGTTTCGACGAGGATAATCAGATTCGATTTTGTTTTGTGTTTATTAGCACTTCGTATGATTAGTAATGTCGGTTATTCCGATGATTTATTGGACAGAGTAAGTGCTATTTATGATTCTCATCTTTTTGCGAACCATTAAAGAATATCACGTGTCAATTGAGAAGATTTTCGACATTGTGTATTTTTAGTATTGTTCTGATTAACTTAGTAAAAAAAAACAAAATGATTTATTGTACAAAACGCGAAAGTTTAATCACTGTTGTGTAAGAAAGATATAAATATTTCAAAAGAATAATAAGTATTAATTATATGAAAAACAAAATAGGAAAAAAGGCTGTTGATTTGTTTTATGAGCCTTGTTCGCACGTGAAGATCGGATATTAAGTAACGATTAAGGTGCCTTTTTGAGCGCGATTACTAAAATTGTTATTTCGTGTACACATCATATGGTAAGTACCAGGATTGACTTGTAGAAGAGCACCTACAAAACAAATTCTATGATTTTGCAAAAGATATTTTAACTAGGATATTACGTACCTTCAAAAGATGCTGGAGCGTTATCTAGTAGACTATTTAATTTTGTTGTTTGTGCTTCGAATGAATAGGGACTGTCGATTCCAGTGCAGTCAGCAGATCGTTGACATCTAAATTTGAGAAATACACAGTATATTTCGCAAATTTGATGGTGGAATACAAACCGATAGTAACCGGATGATGCAAAATAGAGAGCAAGGTCGTCTTTTCGAATATTATCATTGGATTTTTCCATTGGACTCCATCGAACTTTGACATTCTTCCAAAATGTTGACTGTTCGTACGGATATGGGTAATTTTCATCACGATCGCGAATTTGGACAAGATTCGATCGATCCGTACCTTTATAAGATCACGTAAATCTAGTATTTTTCTCTACAATTTCATGTCATACATACCATCAGCTCCTTGTCCATCGTTGCCTGTTTGACCATCTGATGCACCGCCATTCTGATGTGTGTTCGAACCTACAATGAAAGAAGATGAAATGGAAGAACTGAGGAATGAGTTCGCTTACCAGCCCATTGTATATGAACAAGATCAGCACTTCCGATCTGAAGGTTCCGTGGTGTAAAGTCATATTCAACAGCTGGATAAGTTTGGACAATATTTCCACGTTTACCTAGCATGTTCCAGTTATAAATATTTTCATTATCGCTGACACCGTCTAAAGAAAAGTCAAATATCATTATTTACAGCTAAAAATGAATGTAATATCAAAGTATTTACTTGGTCTTGGAAGAATTTCAAAAAGATGCGTTCGATCTTGGAATGTTCTTCCAGCTTGATTGGTATTCAAGTTGATTTGTAAGACAATACCATTGTCGACAGTTACTTTAGGGTTATTTTTTATTGGCGATTTGCCTCTAAGTAGTGCAAAGTGTGATTAAATAGAATAGTGTAGGTCTTTTTCCTTACCCATTGCTCGTTGCATCGATCTTGTATATATCATAGTCAAATGTTGAGATGTTGTATCGAATTCGTGCGACACATCGTTTAACTTTATTCGACGGAAAACTTGGAAGCACCCAATCGTATGAGAGTGGTTCAGCATTAGAATTCAATCCGAGATAATTTGAGCGAGACCATGCTGCTTGTTCACAGACCGGGCCTTGTTGCGAATGAAGGACAAGACATTCTTCTTTCACAGTTGTTGTATCATGTGGAACTACAAATATCGTTCACTGCTTTTTGCTTTTCGTAGACAAAAATCGTGCATACGTACGTGCCCATTTGTATTGATAACGGGAAGATGAAGCACGTTCACATGTCGCCTGTGTTGTATATGCTACACAACGAAAGAAATATGATTGCAGCTTGTCATCATCAGGAGTAATGCCCTTACCTGGAGCCTTTTCTATATAAGAATAGACCAACAGCCATTTTCCACCATTAGCTGTACAATTTGCTTCGTTATTATATTTTGTCGATGTTCGAACGTCATTCTTTGTTTCAATACATTCATAACGTGGTTTAACATTGAAACTTTCTGTTTGATAATAACTAAAAAGCATCTACGATGTTTTCTACTGAAAGAACGATTCAATTCTCTTACTTGCACATGCTATCATTACTAGTAAGGATAGCGATGTCATTCCACGGACTAATGTACGGCCAATAATCGCGTTCTTCTGGACACTCGTAACCATATTTAGTTCCAGCATTATTTTGTCGGGTAAATCTAGCTGTGTCCCCATTTAATTTTTGATCAGCAATGAAAAGGCCTATGAAAAGTAATGAATATACAGAGTGAACATCTATTATAACGTACCCTTGTTTCGTTCACGATTATAGCATCGATCATAATAATTCCACGATTCATGCAGTCTTCGATTTGTATTCACATCTGCTAATTTGCCAGCTTGATCCGAAGCTGGTTTCGGCGTGTACTGTTGAGGTGTCGTTACAATTCCATTGCGAAATTTATCTAGAGGAAAAGGTTTTGCTATACTTCCTATTTCTTCAAATCAATCATTTACCAAGGTTACTATCATCGACATCAGCATCTTGACACATATATTGAAGAATAATATTGCATGTTTGTTTGTTTGGATTTGTTTCTTCATCACCGCCACAGCCATGTTGATTCGTCCAAACGAAACGTAAATAAGTTTTACCATTTTGTCCACTTTGAAAGAATTTCTGAAATGAAAAATAATCATAAGGCTTTCCACGCAAAACTGTGATAAACATTTAAGCGTTTACTTTTCATAAAGTACTTTTAATCTCAATCCAATTAGTAATCGTTTATCTATAGTCATGATCTGCGCATTATGTTTTTCGATTTATTCGCAGACGTTATCTCTCTACAACGATGATTCATCACATTTCGTGACTTGTTTATCGTGTAGGTACTTTCATGCTTTTTCCTCAGAATTAAGAGTGATTCAACGAGATAAAACGCCTATCTATCATCGATGCCACTAGATAATCACGAACTGACGTGCTCTTTCAATGTGCTATCTATTAGTTTTCTCAAATATGTCTGTGAATATACCAGATAGTATTGTAAGGAAGCATTTGTATCAAATGGAGTGTTGGTTGCGTCAGGAACGTTGTATCCACCTTTATCGTTGTTTTGAGAATCAAATGCATTGATTTCCTGGGCACGATCGGCTGTTTGTTCATTGACACGATTGTTCGAACCGGGTGGAAAATGTAAATAAACATCCGCATTCACAACTAAGAAAATTGATGACAGTAATACACCAAAATAAATACAAGACCTCATCGTTCTCAAGAAACAAGTAGAATGGGAAGAGAAGTATGTTTAGATATGTACTCGACTCCTCTCGTTTTTGTTTGACAAATTGGTGATTCATCAGTGTGTATTCGATTGGTCGAGGGAAAAGCCATTGTAGTCAATATGGTCGATGTCGCTTCAGTCGATGTTGCTTATGAAAAGGCCATGTGATAAGCCAATCTTTTCGAGGAAGCTGTTCTATAATAGTCGTAGGCGTGTTATGTATTCTTTTTATTGTATACACATTTCGACTGAGTAAAAAGAGAAGAAATAACTTCGAAGAACCTTATTTGATTAGTTTCCTTGATCAACTCAATGTCTCGAGCATCGAAAAGACCGAAGCTCGAATCGCATACGCGTTCGACTCGACAGAAGACTGAAGATCACCAAGCTCTTCTCTCCGGTCAGTTTATGACCTCGACAATTGATAACGAAGTAAATTTCATTTTCATTTTCATTTTTCTTCTATTTTCGACTTTCTCAATCTATTTCAGCCAAATGACGTCCCATGTCCGTCGCCCATACCCAATCCAAATGATCCATTGACATCACAAGGCTTACCTATTGTCAGTGATACAGCACAAGGTGAAACAGAACGTCACACTGAATTCAATGGGCGATTTGTTAGTCTTGTTTCACTTTTACGCGTGATTAACACAGTCTATCGGTTTGATTTACATATCGATGAAGGTATCTAAATTTATCTCGAATAATTTAGATCGAATTTAACTTCACCAAAATGGAAGAACTTCCGCGGCTCACGTATCGAATGTCAAGATAAGATACGTTTAAACAATGTTATTTGGAGAACATGGCATCAGCAATGTATGTCGACATTGTTCATAATCATAGTTTTTGCTGACAGATTCTCGTGTTTAGATATACGACGAATAAAATCACTTGTTTGCCAATTCGTCTCGCCACTTGACATTCAAACATTTCCAGTATTGATATTTAGAAAAGAAAACTAATAGACTGATTGTTTTCCTTTGTCTTTTGTTCCTTAACAGACACAAGTCAATCAACAAGCTAAACAACAAGTGCTTAACAACTTGAAAGGCGAATATATCAAATGGCGACAAAGTTCCAAAGCTACTCTACGTCGATTAGAAATCGATATATCAGTAAAAAAATCGAAAGTTTGTAAATTGATGCCAAAATTTTCTTGATTGATTTCAGAGCAATGAAATAAAACAGCTTTTGGGTAATGTCAGTGAAACTTACACACCAAAAGTTTCGTCAAATTTCCGTCGTATCGCCACTCCACCACCTGATCCATTCAGCCTGTTCGATGACTTCGAGCTAATCGAGGATCAATTACTCTTTTCCACAACGAACTCATTTAATGACAAAGATGCCGGTAAGTTAAAGTTCGGAAATACTTTCGAAACGTTTTTTTATGGTGTTGGATCTAAATGATGAAACTTATCATTTTTCTTTCTCTCCTGCTTATTCGATTCTAGACTATCCATTATCAGGTAAATGGTCATTATTCTGCAGATGTGTGGCTATTTAAACTGTTTTTACCCTTGTGAACGCTCGCATTTTCCCCCCGCTAGTCGATTTAACCAATCATTTACTTGTCTCCACATCCGAATATTAAAAAACCCAAAACACAATCTAATCGCTTTGATATTTTCTTTTGTGGTTATGTTCTATAAAGCTTCATTTCCTTTTTCTTCTATGTTGATATGAAATTCCTGGAGTAAACGATTCATTAGCCGATTTTTCTCTCTCATAGCATTGGGTGGAAATCCAGATTTACATCAACCAATCATGGGACAATATTATTTCGATATCAATACCTTCTTTGACGGACTTGATGCAACATTGACAAGTAGATTCATGATATATCAAAAGTTTCTTTCTCAATATTTCTTTTCTCCGGTCGGTTAGATGATGAATTCAATCTGCGATGTAATAATGATTCGGTAACGGAACTTTTATTTTCCAATATGTAAAAACAATGATTTCATTTAGTTGTCAACATTGCCTTCGTATCAAAATCAGACAGACCTTACATTGGATATACCATCACAGCCACAACAAGATTTGAGTAATTTTCAGACATTAGTCTCAGTAGCTACAGAACGTCCACGTTTAACAATTCAACAGCAAAAGAATATTTTAAATCAGAATAATAATTCAAATGTAAATGAATTTCTTCATTCTCAAATATTGTTTATGTTTTCCTTGAATAGAACAACGTGCAACTAAATAATCTGAATTCAATGGCAATGTATAATAATTTACAATATCAACCAGTATTATCTCGACCAATGTATAATCCATACGCTGTGAACAACGCTACTAATAATCCAACGAATTCAAATGTAAATTTTTCAATTTTTACTTTCGAAATCAATTGATAATATGCCTATCTTTCTTTAGAGTCTTGAACATTTGACTCCAATTACAAATATTTCTACAGTTCCAGCAATCAATGCAATAATGACGACTCCGCAATCCTCGTTAATGTACACAAACAATAATGCAAGACAAACGCAACAAATTGATTTACCAATTAGTAAACCACCCTCGTCAACGTTGGTCGATCTTCTTAAACAAAGACGAAGTCCCCCTCCGCCAGTATCAATGACAGTAACAAACAGTTCATCTGTAACATCAACACGCCAAAGAAAACAGAATTCGGCTGCTAAAACACCAAAAAAGTCGTCCAAAAAGGCACAAGTACCAACCAAACAAATACCTGTGAACAATACTCTATTAAATTCTATACCGGTATGTACAAACATGTCAGTTTTCTTTCCGTGCGAACCATTTGTCTTTTAGAATCTTGGCGAGCCAAATGAATCGGTATTGAGCACGTCTATAGCGCAGCGAAATAGACTACAACGTACTGTTTCTCGATCAACATCGGAGGAAATACCATTACCTACTCCACATCAACCTTTTCATATCTCAGCACCACCATCGGCACAAATAAAACACAGTGCTTCTACTTCCAATGATTTAGTATTCTTAAATGGAAATGCGGTAAGATGAGAAAAGCATCTGATGATTACATGAATTCATATAGAAGATATTATACTTTATAAAATCTCTAATAACATCATTTTTTAGACACTCGATTCTTCACCCTCGTCTACATCAAGTTCTGGACAAAATGCTGAAAGTAAACGTCGTCGAAATATCAAGGTAAAATTCCATTCAAAACTTTTCCGTTATCATAATCCAATTATTTTCTTTCATTAAATAGAACGGTTTCGAGAGTCTTCGTTCACTTATCCCAGAACTGAACGATCCAACAAATGCAAAGATAAGTAAAGCTCAAATGCTTGAATGCAGTAAGTAGTCGTCTCTCTGTATCTCATCTGAGTTTATCCGTGTGTTCTATCAGCTGCTACACACATTCAAGAAGCAACAAAACTTCGCGACAAAATGAAGAGCGAAGTTGATCTGTTAAAACAAGAAAAGGAGCAATTACAACAAAGAATCTCTCAATATCAAGCAAGTTTACCTGTTGATGGTATACCTATAGTACCAGCTAGACGTTCTCGCGAAGCTTCCTATGCATTATTTCACTCATATGTTGCTGAGCGAGCACGAAAGAATTGGCGATTTTATCCATATTCATTGATATTGAAACGCATTTTCGATGGATTTCAAACGACAGTGACATGTGATTCATCGGATGAATTCATGCGTTCGTTAAACGAATGGAAAACAAATTCACTTAACCTCGTACAATTACGACAAGCTGCTTCGCAAGCTGTCATAGATATGGGACGAGAAACATCATTGATTTCATGTAAGTCGTATTCGAAATGCTCTTTCTAAACTGTGATTTACTCCATTTAGCACCTGATCGAGTGCCTGAAGAATGTATTCGTTTAGCATCGAAAGAAATCCAGTAGTCACATTATTTTTCTCTTGTTCAGTAGTCTTTCCTTCGGTTCTTATTTATGATTAACTTAGCTGCTTGTTTTGTTTTCTTGGCCGGTTCCACTTTGGTGTTGATTTTTTTCTCTGTACGTGTATAGGCTACCTTTTGGTTGTGTTTTTTTGTCTTGGGTTTGCCGTGGATAATTGATGCGCATTGTTTTGGCGAAAAATATAGAGAAATTTGCATGATCACTGTGATTGTTCTTTTTTTGTACATAACCAAGTGAAATAAAGATCGATAAACACATGAAGCCATGACTTCTGCTCTTCAAATCTAATTAACTCAACTGCAGTTGTTCATGTCGAATAATCCAAAGTATGCTACTCGCCTATCTTACTTATCGATTAGGAATAATTCATAGCATACGTTTTCTTTGTCTTACTATTCTGTTGATATTCGCGGAGATCAAAATTACTCTCGGCGGAACGTATCTCAATGAACTTCTCAGCTACAATCATCAATCGATACTCTTCTATTGCATATTAATCTGGATAACACTATCCTTCGAGATCTATTTTTTCCTCGATCGTTTATTTGCCTCGATATCAATCAAAGCTAGAATTACCGTTCAAGTTTTATCTCTTCTTTTATGTGTCTGTTATCTGCTAGCATGTTCATTTACATTGTACGGGTTTATTAAATCATCCGATGGTCATGTTATCACAGAAACGGATTTCTTCTATCCTCCGCTGACGAACATTACTTTATCGGCAAATTGCAATCCGTACCGTTTCATCGGAATTGTCTCCGGTTATCTGATCGGTTTTCTCTACCTTGCCGTGTTCGTTTTGATACGCTGTTCGACAGGCTGAAGATAAGTTTGTTCTGGAGGGTTTTTTCTCTTTTGATCATATCCAAAAAATATATACACACATACAGATGATGTTGAATGAGAAAAAAAGAGCGATTACTCATATTTTCGTAGCAAAGAAAAGAAAACAAGCAAACAAACCAAAAAATGGGAGTAAAGAAAAAAACAGAAGTTGATATGTATACAAAAGCTTGAGATCTTAGCTGTTTTGTTCATTCTCAATAGTTTGTTTTTAACGAACTCAAAAGAAAAGCGACGAAAAACGAAAATCATTTACATATTTTTCATACTGTTGAGCTCGTTGATCAATTCAAGTACTTGTGGTGAACGTGTAGATGAATGCACATTATCACGAAGTAAACAATCAATAAATGATAATGTCATTTCAAGTTTACCATAGGTGATTTCGAAAACTGTGTAAGTGGCAAATAATGTACATATTGCTGTGGAAAAATCAGTTAGTGGACGATGGAACAATTGGACATAATCTAATTCAATATTGTATGAAGCTGAAGATGATTTGCCATCATAAAACAATGTTGCCGGATGTTCTCCACGAATAATAGGCCATGGAGATTGAGCATCCTTATCAGGTGCAACAAGCAAGAATTGATATTCACCAAAGTAACATGCAACGATCAATATAGCGAATGTATCAGCTAAGACTATAAGGATGAACATTGACAAAAAAAATGAATGAAAACATATTTAGCAGGAGGTCATACTTTGCTCTAGTTGCGGTCGTTTCGAGAGAATAGTATGATATGTAAGAAGAATTTCTGGCGCACAACCTGTTTCTTTCGCTAGACGTATGATTGGTTTGGATATTGAACGAAGTTTGTGAATTAAAACAGTTTGAATGGGAATGTTTGTTTGCATGTGAAAATCAGCAAGTAACTGAAAAATCGAAAGTGAAAAAAACATAATCAATGATTTCTTTCGTCCGACATACACATGAATGTAATTGCAATGCTGGATATTCGGTAAGAATCTCCGTAGTATTGTGCGTTTTAACAAAATTTCGTCGTATTTCAAATGTTTCTTTAAAATAATCTGAGATAAGTGAAATATCCGGATCGTCGGTGGCTGCTAATGTTTCTTGCATAGCAGTAATACAACCACGTAAACGAATTGTTTCATCTTCGTCCATATCATCGTTGTTTTCACTTAATTGATCCTAAAGAACATAACAAATAGATTTGCAACAAAGATATTCACATTCAATTACCACATCTTTTCCATTTGTTGGCATTTCTCCCGATTCGTATTGTCCATCATCGGAATCGACTTCGAATTCATGTCGAGAACGTTTTTGTCCGTTTGATGTTTGAGCTAATTTCTCTTCCCCTAATTCTTCATCACCGGACATACGATCATAACCATTTTCACCAGCCATGGATTGTCCCATGTCAACATAAGATGTTGCGGTGCGACGTCCGCGTTTGAATTTACCTTTAATACCATCAATCCAAGCACCCTACAACACAAAATTCGATGAGATTTTTATTCGAGACTCGATAGTTCGAACTTACTTCACCACCTTCAGTAGATGATTCTAGAAATGGATAAGCTTTAACAAGTGCAGAAGCAACAGTTTTGTATTGTCTGGCGTTCGGATACCTAAAAAAATCATGACAATTAGAAGATTTTCTTTTCTTTCTTCGATCAATCCGTGTGCTTTACCAAAGATTATATGTACGAGTGAGATCATCATAGATCGATGAGATTAAGAGATTTCGATAATAGGTACGGAGTTTAAATGCACTTGCATCTTGAGAATTGAGCGCTAAACGGAGAGTGTCAGGAAATTGTGGTAATTTATATACATGAGGAAATGTATGTTTGGCGTCGTTTTCATTCGTATCTCCATTTTGTGAATTACTATATGATAAGAGAAAAGAACGTGTGTTCGAAAAGATACAGCCGTTTGTTCTCTCTTACTTGAGAGCTGGATTTGGAAAGCATTTTGGTTCACGTTTAAGTGTTTTCATAGGCGGACCTTTCGGTGTGAGACGCTGTGGAATCTGTGAACGTTCTGGATAAGAATTACGAGGATTATGATGACCATTGGTAGCTGATGGTATCGGTGAATTTGAATTTGATGAATGATCAAAACCGTTTTCAAATGAAGAGGAAGCAACGACATGTGCAGCAATTTGATGCGCTGCCAAATGTCGACTGCCATTGTGACCATTGATTGTCGACGATGAAGCAAGGGTTTTTTTCGAATTGGATTCAAGAGTTTGTCGTTGTTTAAGGGATTGTAATAAATCGAGAAATTGTACTTCGAGTTTGATCGTCGGGAAAAGACGAACTACCATCGATTCACTAAGTTTAAGAAGAGTTGGACCGTCGATTTCATTATCTAAACAGATCATGTCAAGCACGGTGATGAATCATACAGAAATATTATTCAAAAATGGATGAATGATTCTTTTGTTCTGATCCGCTAATAAGATCTGACGAAAAACAAGAAAGACGCCCTGATTTTTTTGTTAGATTTAATAAGTGCAAAAATAACATTGGTGTTTGCTTTCTTACCTCGAAAAACTTTTTCAAACGCACCAAAGTTTGATTCATGAAGCCAAGCAACAACAGCATCGGCATCCCATTGCAAAACAGGCGATTTCTGAAGATCAATTTGCAAGAGAAAATATAAAATCAGATATAGAATGCGAAGTAGACTTCTTTTACCGTGGAGGCTACTACCGAATCCATTGTATGTGCTTCTGTCTATAGTTGTGTGTATGCGGTCAGTAGCAGTTCAGCATAAGAATGTGAACTAATATGTGGAGTTTGCCGGTTCTTCGTCGCCGTTCGATGAGAAGGAAAAGAGAGAAGAAGAATAAGAAAGAGAGAAATAGGCGAACGTTGCCTACAAAACACACGATTCGACGTTCTGGTGTGTCAATGGATCTATGTACAGAGAAAAGAGGTTTATGTGTGTCCGTCTGAATTTTGAAGGAAAGGAAGGAAGGAAGACGGGTGAAAGAGAGAAAAACGGAGAAAACGTTGCTGGACGGCTGCTGAACGGACGATTTATGTGTTTTTGTGTGTATACTAACCGTATACGTGTGTATGTTTGTACATACAATCTTTCTTCCTGTCGGACTACTATACCTATGAGTGATGATGGCGAGCGACCACTTTTCTCCTCTTTTTCCTTTCGTCCGCCCGCTCGTCACTGACTCAAATCTTTTTCGACGCCAACAACATCTGCCCTATTTGGGGCTATTTGAGATGAAGAAAAAAAAACAACATAGAAGAAAGCATTCCAGTGTGAGGGCAAGGATAGGAAAAGCGGAGAAATATGAAACAAAACTGATGGACACTATTCATCGGAGTTAGATCCACGTGTCTGAATCTATCGAGAACTTCATTTCCCGATGTTTGAAAACGAAGAGAAAAGAAAAGAAGAAAAAAGAAGTGTCATAGCTATGTACAAAAATAGACTCGAATACATTAGCAAAAATCTTTCTTTCGTCATTCGTACACCCTGTTTCTAAAAAGTACATTGCACTCAAAAACATTTCTGTTGATTTATTTTTCTTACTCGATTATATCATACGAAGACAGTTATAGAAAATGACATTAGAGCTGCCTTATTTTCTCTTGTTTCGTCTAAAATATTCACCCAGTCGATTCCTTTCAGAGATAAATTAAATATACTTGTGCCGATACATTACAAAAGAATACACAAAAATAATCTTTTCTTTCTATATAAACAACAAAAATATTTTCATCATCAGTCGGATTGAATGGTTTTATATTAATGAAATATTGATAAGAGGACAATAGTTCTACTAAATAACCTTCAATCTGAAGATTAATACATCTGAAGAACTTTGAAGAGAAAAAGGATTTTCATCTATTGATGCCGTCTAACAACTATAACAAGAAATGATGACGCATGCAAAAATGAAGAATCTTCACGCATATACACGTCCTAAACGAAAGCTTGTGAGCTAACGCCCTATATTGTCCTTGCCGTTCTCTTTCTTCTGACTTTCTACGCCTTACTTGCTAAACCCGGTACGTGCGCTATAGATAAAAGAGAGAAAAGAGAAGGACACCCCCTAAAATCGTTTTCTTTCTCGTTTTTGCGCTCTTTATGCTATCGTTGTCATCCGAAAACCCTACCCCATATCTCGTCGTTCCTCTCTCTCTCTCCTCTTTCCAGATCATGTAACATAGGCATATACACGCACGCATTCTAAACGTAAAGTTCATCTATTGGCTTCTTCTCGACATAACGCTTGTTAGATTGTCGAAAAATCCGAAATACGCAGGGGATCTCTTTCGTGTTCTCCTACACCTCCGTGATTTCACTGTATGTAAATGTATTAAAAACTTCTTGGTGTCGATGATGGTGAAGAGGAGAGAAAGGAGAACTCTCAACGCCGGCGTTGACGGCAAACGGAATCTTCTGGACGTCTTTGTCGAGTGCGGAGCAAGAAAAAGTGAAGAAAAAAATGTGTGCTATAGCAATGTGTTGAGTGGTGCTGTAAACAGATTCTGCATCAATCACTTTCCATTTTAAGCGGCTCTCGCATTCTCGATTATACTATCAGAACATCAGCGCACATGAACCGCACATCTAGAACACAATGTGTGTGTATGTGAGAGAGAGAAAGTCCATGGTCAAATCATTTGTTCATTCATTCCTTCATCAATTTATTCTCTGTTGTCTGTTCTCTGCAGTTCTCCTGCTGTGCATGTACATAGGCATGTACGTATAGATTTTCTTCTCGTCTTCTTTCTCTCTCGTTTGCTCTTTTACGAGCGTATGTATGTATTATATTCGACCTGGTGGGTAAAAGGTTGTACAGAGGTCAATTTCACTCTCGCACGTTCTCTCTGCACCCATTGTCCATTCTCTGCCACTATGTAAAGATCAGATCTCTTATGCTTAGGATTAGACAAACGGTCAGACAGACGATCGAACAATTGTTGTTATTCACGTTTGATGTTTTTGCAGATCAATATGTGTATGAACGAAAGAAAAAGAGAAAGAGAGTAAAACAACTGTTCGTTGAAAAGACAAACAATGTATTGACGACAAGAACTTGGATTATTCATACGAAAAATAATAGTTTTTAATAATCAAAAGAGAGAAGTTTTGCTTCAACGATCAATGTATTATTTCAAGCGAATCAATTTTTGTAGATCAGGCTCGCTCGATAGATGATCATTCGAAAAGAAACAACATTTGCTAATGATGAGTCATGGTTCATGAATACGATTTGTTCTGTTTGCTCTTGTTGAGATCTAAACAGCTACGTGATGCATTCCTAGTTGATTTTGTAGAGGCTGACAAGAAATCACTTGACTCATTATTCAATTTTTTCTCGTTACTAAAACCTCAACAACGGACAAGGAGTACACTGACACGAGAGAACTGTTTGAAAGAATAAAACGGAACAAAAACTGGTAAAGTCTGGAGCTTCTCAGCTATTGGTGAATATTATGGAAAAGAGACATTAGTAATGGAAGTTTACAGTTTGAAGTAAAGTTGTACTCAAATACGTTGATTATTTTATACAGATTTGAACGAAAGAGCAAAAATTTTATTCAAGTATGGGCACTAAAAAACCAACACTTACTGAAGAGTAAAGTTAACTTTTGATTTCAATCGTTTTGATGAAGATCTTGTCTTTTAATTTCAGAAAGCCTTTTACAACTGACACGAGTTATGACGACCTTACTATATACCTAGCTGAAAAATCTTGTGGAGAAAATCAAAATCAAAATGCAATGTCTAGCTATGCAAATATTGATAGAGGAACAGTAAATCTAAGTGAGTCCAATATTTTGACGAAAAAATTATATTAATTTCGTTTTTAGATGAGGCTTTGCATCTAACTGGCACTCTCACTACGAAGCCATTGGTATTAACAAAGGAATTGGAATCTCTCTATGATGCTCGTTATAAAACAGACTATTTTCCTCGTGGTGGTAAGAAGGTTGGCAAACCTCAAGCCCCACGTTACATTCGTACAATAGACAATGAATCAAAGATCACTATCCAAGTAAGCCGATAAAAATAATATAAAGCTCAACTAATCGCTTTGAAATTTTTAGCTTCCACAAGGGTATGGGATTCCAGCAGATCCTGAAAACTATTTTCTTGAAGTGTCCCTCGTAACTGTCAATCGAGGAGCTGGTCACCACTGGCATGTGTACCAATTTCAATTACATCATACTGATCAAAATGTTCGAGATGATAATCCTGTCGTCATGCCTATAACTGCGGAAAATTATCAAAAAGGCGAAATTGAGTATGTTATATTGAACTTGACGTTAGAATTCTTTCTTAAAATTGTATTATAGAATCGAACTAGTCGTTATCAAAACACGGAAAGATCACCTGAGGCAAGTTTTGTCCCTAAATCCATTTGTGCAAGAACCAAATCTAGGTAAATCGATTTACATGGCTGGCTATTGCAAATGCGAGAATTTTTAGAATTGACAGAGGGTTGTAAAACGATCGAGGATCTTGAAAGCAGATACAATCTCTTATGTGCACAGGTCGCATTTTCCATTGTTTATCAAATGTCAGATGGTAGTTTTGTTCGATATCCAAGTACGACAGTCATCTCCAATGAAATCGTTGAAAGTAGGAGTAAAAAAATCGAATATTCATTAGAAATTACATTCGTTATCCTATTTATCTGAAGAAAAGCCAAATCCTACTGGTTCGTATGAATTTATTTGTCATTTCCAATACAACACGCTTTATTTTAGATGAGATCACATGCCCCCATTGCTCCGGAACTTTGAGCATTAAAGAACAGAAGAAAGCACAGAGAAAGCGACCTTCAGCTGCACCAAGTGCATCAACAAAGGTAAAATCGGCAAGAATAGTAATTTCATGATAAACTTTTCAGTTGTTATTAGAAGGGTCGTGGAGTTTAACAAATGAACAAGTGCCGAAAAATCACATTCGTTTTCATCGTGTTTATTCACCACTAAATTCCGCCCGTTGATTCAAAAGCGCTCTCTATTTTGTTAAACGAAACACGTTGTTTTCTTTCAAATAAAAACTCCAAAAGAGCATAACCTCATTAGGATGATACAAGTCTATTCCCATTGCCCAGCAATTGATAAACAACAAAGAGAATTCTTTCACAAAATACTTCATGAGTATGCGGATTTCGACAAGTGAAGTAATCTACATTTTACAAGATTTTTCTGACAAGCACAAGTCTGTTCACACTCAAGGTTGTTTCATCAATCACTCAATTCAATCATTATTTGTAATAAATACTGAACAAAAGATTTATCTCATTATATTCCATCTAAATCTGTCGAATTTCATTTACTTCGATGTAATCTGTCACTTGTTATATTCATTTTGCGAGATAGCCTTGAAAAGATGTTTCCATGATAGATTGGAGAGCTAGTAGTCGACGAACACGCAAAAATGTTCTTCATCAATCTCTTTTGCCAAGAACAATTTATGGATAATAAATGACAAAAAACTTCATTTAAACACGCAACTTTCCTATTTATCCATTGATGAATTCACATCGATGGTAACTTTACTTTCGCAAGTTAATATCAAACAATCAACGATAAAGTTATTCCTCGTCTCATGTGGGATTATAAAAGACTCAAATGACAGACAACTCCTTCTGCTCATCAATTTCTTCTTTGACCGCTCACAAATGACCATTGTCTCACTTGTNATAGTTTTGTTCGATATGCAAGTACGACGGTCATCTCCAATGAGATCATTGAAAGTAGGAGTAAAAAAATCGAATATTCATTAGAAATTACATGCGTTATGCTATTTATCTGTAGAAAAGTCAAATCCAACTGGTTCGTATGAATTTATTTATCATTTTCAATACAATATGTCTTGTTTTGTGTATTGAGAAAGAAAGAAAATTATTCATCTAATTTTCAAATTGAACCTTTTGAAGACAAGCGGATATCAAATAATGAAGGCGAGATCAAACACTGTGTGTAGATATATGTAGGTCTCAAGTCATTTTCATCGTCTACATACTTGATCAGTCACAGTTGCCTGCACATTAGAGAAATAACAAGACCTTGTTAAATTCTCATCAGTGTCCTTTCGCTGTATACATGAGTGAGTAATTACTTGTCTATCTATGTCATTCTCTATGAATAAGTATGCTTAGTCAAGCTAGAGGGAGTGTCCATCAAAATATTTTTAAATCATCAAAGCACGACAACAAATCGCTTTTCAATAACATACCAACGAAGTCTTAGAAGTCCAACAATGCATACATACGTACACACATCTATCGATGCAGGCATTTTGCTCTTCTGCCTTCTATTTATAAATAATCGGACATCTGTTCTTCTGTCTTTTATTCTCTCTTGAGCGTTCAACATATAATAAATATACTCCAAACATAATCTAGTTCTTCTTTTGTAGTCCAATTAATAATAGCAGTAGCAGGCTTTGTCATTTCGACTGACTAATTGGATGGTTTGAAGAAAAGGCAAAAGAAATGGTCAACTTGTTTTTCTGATCGTCTCGCATCTGTAACAATAATAAAGTAACACACACGCAATATGGATTACGATCATTGCGGCGTACAAGAGAGATAATCGGATCGCGAGTGGCGAGCACGTATATATACGTATGCATGCATGCTCAATGTCGTAGACTGACCTTTTGGAGACTCAAGCCTAATTCGATGTCGGAAAAAAATATTGACATCCCATAGTCAGTCGCCGTCGGATGTTCTTTTTATATAAATAGTGGCTACCTGAGAAGAGGAAAGAAATTGATGATCCGCATCGACCGACTGTTCTTTTCAAGATACATATACACACACACATAAGAAAAAAAAACGAAGATTGACAGATCAAACATAAGAAGCGCAATGGTCCGATGTAGTCTTTGGTCCGTACAGATTTTCGAAACGTTGCAGAGCTCCGTCGATGTGATGTTGATGTTCAGTGAATCGAACATGTTTCGATGATAATCTCGAATTCGTCGCTGAGAGCGACGATGGATTTAACAGAAGAAGATTATTCGATTGTTCGGATGACATATCACTTGAACAATAACAACCATCATCCGAACAAGCTTTTGGCCCGGTGCCCGTAGCTGATACTGGGCTACTTGTAGTTGATGATGATGATTGCGGTAAATGCGTTGATAAATCATTATTATTCGAATTATTGATATTTTCGATCAGCTCCGATTGTTGCTTCAATGGTAAATAATACGTGTTGGGGAAGACGTTGATTGCATCGTAGAGAATCTGAAATCATTCAAACAAGATGTTGCAATCGATACCGACAAAAGGCGCGATGAAGAAAAGAATTTGTTCACTTACTGCTGTGCGCTCAAAATGCAAATCATCCGAAATACGAGTAAACTGGCCATTTGCCGTGTGCTGTTGAAGTTCGTTCAATGAAGTTGTTGATGAGGTCGAAGGAAATTTCCTTTCATTCAACATCGAATGAATGTTACTCGATTTGATGGTCGGCGTTGTTAAACTATTTTCTTCCTTTCGCCGTTTAATTTTATATTTTATACAACATATTAAACATATAAACAATGATATAAAGACAAAGCATGCTGCTAGGATACCAGCAAGTATGAGAATGTTTCGAGGATTTTGTTCCACGCGTAACCATAATGTGGTCGATCTTTTGTGTTGATCTGATGAGATTAATTGAATTTGAACTAATGTTGTCGATGATAACGATGGTTTGCCGTGATCACGTGCTACGACAATAATTTCATAACGTTCATATGTATTGGTGTTTTTAATACACTCGATTGTTCCTCTTGTCTCATTAATACGAAATAAATCTTGATAATTCGATAAAGAATACGTTATGCGACTATTTTCTGTATTCGGTTGATCACAATCGGATGCTGTGATTGTAAAAGTCGATTCATTTGGTACCATTGTCGTTTGATAGATTGTCTGATTGAATGTCGGTGGACAATCATTTATATCGAGTATGCGAATACGGATCGTTTTGGAAAGTCTTTCATAAGGTGGAATAAGGTGTTGTGCATTGATGGAAAATTCGTAGAAATCTTTCCGTTCACGATCAAGTGTTTGAGTCGTTACTAATGAATAGGATAAGCCATTCGATTGAACTTTAAAATCAGTATCAGTTAGATTAAGTAGCCATTCGTTTGGAATAATGTTTGTATCATTAATCAGACTAATAAAAGCGATAAAACTTCCCGCACTTTTACCTTCGGTGATTTCGACTGAGGAATCATTTAATGATTGATGAAAAAACTGTGGATAACGAATATCAAGGGTAAGCGAAGTAACAAAAGATGAAGAAGTAAGAAAGATAAAAAAGAATATAATTGACATCATGATCTAGAAGAATATCGGAAGAAATACAATAGTGTTCTCATGCATAAGCTTTTTGTTTCTTCTTTTCAACATGTATAAATATGAGAGAAATAGAATTCCTTTCTATTCTTTCTCGCTCTCCTTTTTTCTCTTTTACGAGAAATTCTTTCTCCTTCTCTCTCTCTCTCTCTCTCTCTCTCTCTCTCTCTCTCTCTTTCTCTTTGTCGTGTGATGGACGATGATGATGATCATCAATCAATCTTTCTTGCAGAGAGAAAAAAAGAGGCAAATGAGAGAGATGAAGAAGAAATTTGTTCTCGTTCTAAGCAATATTTATCTTACTCATATAAAATGTCAAATGTTGAAACATTAAAAACGTAAATTCACATCTGTGAAAGAAGAAAACTCCTTCTTTTTTTCGCCGTCCTCGTTTTCTTCTTATCAACACTTGGCTAATTCGCACGATAGGAAAGATTGATGTAAAGAAACATCTTGAGACGCGACACATTCAGACAACATGCAGATGTGTGTGCATGCGTGTGTGTCTAAAGATATCATGATCTTTTAATTCATTGAAGACCTTGCTTGACTAATCTAACGAGTCGAAGATCGATGAATATGGGTGGAGAATAAATAAGATCCCTATTGTTAACGTGTCTAACTATCATCACTCGTAATGAACGAATGTCTTTCTGCAGAAGACTCTTGTTAATCATTTAATTGCTTTTCTCTCATCTAACAAAGCATTGGGGGAAAGAAAACGAGAAGAAGGAAGACAACGGCGGCAGCTGGAACAATGCACAGACTCATACACACGTATACGAGAGGCTTCTGAGAATGTATGAGCATTTTATGGGGTACTCTCTCGTACTCGTCTCATACACATATAGTATACATTGTTGAACTGATGACAACTTGAAATGATCGACATTCGATCCATCTTTCCTCTTATCGCATGAATGTAATGAGCTCTTCGATTGTATGTATTGAGTACGAAAAAAGGTCTCACACCAGGTTATCATTCTCGAATAATACACTTGGCAATGTGTGTGAGTGGATCGATATCATCCTGTGTGTCAACCTCATTAGATATTAACGAGTGAGACAGTGAAAACAAACTTAACAACGACGATGTACATTCGCTCGACTGATAATTCCATTTACACTCTCAAATAAGATAAAATACATAGAGACATTTTTTAGCAGCTTTCTTGTCCGTGCTGAAACATGTATAAATATTAGAGAAATATAACTCTTTTCTATTCTTTCTCGCTCTCCTTCTTTTTTTCTCTTTTACGAGAAATTCTTTCTCCCTCTCTTTCTCTCTCTCTCTGTCGTGTGATAGACGATGAT